AATGCATAAAATAAAGCACCCAAGAAGCCTCTGTGTTAGTTTTAAGAATGACAGCCTTGGATAGACATTTTAACACCAGCGGTTAAAAGTGACAGCAGCTAATAAATCGTCTTCACATTTTGACAGGAAACTTCTACTCTAACTTTGAATCTGAAATCATGTTTGCCATGGGTAATTTCCCTGCAAATGTCTGTATTTATAAGCATTCAACTTTGACAGCTACACCAGTAAGCAAGCTCATAACGTTTGTTCTCTTAAGCGTGTTATTGTCTCACTCGTATGATTCTGATCTACCACCTACCGTGCTCCTCGCCTCCATTCCACTCCGAGCCTGTCAACACCCATTATGCCCAGCAAGCCCTCTGCTGCCATCTCTGCCATGTCCCATCAAAGTGGGACAATTTATCCAACTGTCTGGCCATGTTAGCTTGTACTCCAATTATTGCATGCTAGTACATCTACGTCTACATGCCACCATAGCTCTTGTGGGCCTAAGGTTTGGTAACAGATAAAAACAGCTGACTGGACAAGAGTCGTAGCCTATGTTTGTGCATGTGTAGCTAAATAATTAACAAATTTGCTGCAAAACATCTTTCACAGGGTGATCTGATTAAGGAGGCCCCAGGAGATATGCTCGTCTGGCCTTTCTCTATGCCCTGTGCAGTGACTAATGCTGTGTAGGGGTTTTCACTAATGTGTTCATCTTTGGCCCGGAGAGCTACAAAGGACAGTGCTATGAGTGGAGGCATTTAGTGTGTATGGTCATGTGCTATGTAAATGTTTCATGAATGAGGTATTTAATATGCACAATGTGTAAGTGAGATCATGTCCGAGAGCTCTCCTGCTTGTAGGTTAATCACTGGACTCATTTAGAAGATAGTCACAGCACTGTTGTAATTTAATAATAATAATTTGTGAAATTATCTGAAATTAGCTATATTCCGATACAAACAAATTTAGCTGAAAATGACACCTTCATTTACACACACATAGCATACTAACTCTCTCTCTCTCTCTCTCTCTCTCTCTCTCTCTCTCTCTCTCTCTCTCTCTCTCTCTCTCTCTCTCTCTCTCTCTCTCTCTCTCTCTCTCTTCTCTCTCTCTCTCTCTCTCTCTCTCTCTCTCTCTCTCTCTCTCTCTCTCTCTCTCTCTCTCTCTCTCTCTCTCTCTCTCTCTCTCTCTCTCTCTCTCTCTCTCTCTCTCTCTCTCTCTCTCTCTCTCTCTCTCTCTCTCTCTCTCTCTCTCTCTATATATATATATATATATATATATATATATATATAATGTTAACCCACAGCCACACACAGCCCAGCTCTTTGTGGTTGTCAGTTGTATTGATTGTGCTGGTAGACACTGGCCTGCAGATTGGATTACAATCCAGCTGGTGTCCAGCCTGAAGGGAGAGCATCGCTTGTATTTGTGTCCATGCTTAAACTCAGAAATGTCTCTGGAGAGACACTTCACAATAAAGTGTAATATAGAAGAGGCAAGCTGCCCACAGAGGAATTTAGCCCATGTTAGATGCTGCAGGGTAAAAAGGTCAGAGTTGTCATTCAGATGGTTAATAGTGCCCACTCACCCCACAGTACAGGCTGGGTTGATGGATTTTGACACAGACAGATTTTTACTGGTTGAGAAAGTATTAGTGAGCCAAACATCAATGCAAATGGCATTGTGCAAAAGCACTCAGGCCTAACAGTTTGCCCCGGATGGGCTGCTCATGTATAATTACTGCATGTGTCTCTCTTGTATAATAACTATGGGTTCTTATTTTTCTCTATTTTTACTAGAGGGTGTGTCTGTGTCATAAAGTTGAGTTGGATCTTGACAAGCAGGCCTACGCTGCTGTGTGCTTGCTGCTGATAATGGCTTTCACCATTGAGTCATAGCTTAGCAACAAGCCTGCTGGCCTATTTTTGGTCCCAGGCAATTATCCACAATGCACTGTAGTCCTATGACACTTCCACATTGTGGATGTAATGAAGGAAAGAGGATGTCTGCCCAGTGCCCACATCTGTCAAAGATCTGCAGGGCTCATCCAGAGTCTAAAACAAGTTAGTCATCTTAGATCAGAAGGAGCAACTGTGCTAAAGGATGTCACCAATCAATCCATATATATGACAATTCCCTGCTGTAAAGACAGACTTTACAGATGAGAGTAAAGTGAGCAAATGCACATAATAATGTTATGTATGTTATGTATAGAAATGTCATTTTGAAACAGATATTACAAGTGTCTGTTGGCCAGCATCATCGCCATCATAAATCGCTTGAATATTTGATTCTGTTCATTTCCATCAGTTTGCAGTGTTAATCTATAGGCTTGTATTTGTGTATAAACTAATAAACAATAAATCAGTAAATACATTTTCAGTCACAGTGTCTAGTGTACTGCTAGAATGTGATATAGCTTAGGGATCAGTTTATTGCATGTTTTACAGCAAGTTTAAGGAAAGTCTATAGAACATGAAAACTCCATCACTATTACTAACATATTTATCAATGTGCTGGCTTCAATGGGTTTGGGAGCTGGCACAAATCGTGAAAGCTCAATAAACATCTTCCACACAGAGATGAGAAAATTGAACAATGAGAATTATTTTGGACATTTTGAATGGCATTACAGTTTGTGATTAATGTGCAGCACATGTGAGGGATAAAACTAATGTTGAAAGGCTCTATTCATAATCCGGCTGCTGCAGCCTGAAAAGATAGAATTAAAGCAACACATTGATCTAATAAATTGAGAATGGGGTCAGCTGAGTTTCAAGTCACTCACACGGCTGTGGATATTCTGAAGTATTGACTGTAGTATGACATGTGGTGGAGGGAGACTGCTATGACTGGGCACAATCTGGTCAGGAGCGCAGGACCCAACAGTAGTATTAGCATAGGCCTGTCATGATAATTACTATATCCATTTAACATTCAATATATGAAAGCTGGAACAATATTTTTGATGGGGTCAGCATTTGCCAAAAATATATTTTATTTGCACTACGGGGAAATTTCTGGTTGTTTTTTGGCTATACAATAACATTTAAGCCATAAAAGGTTGACTAATTCATTATAATTGTCATTACAGATACAAACTAAGTACTAAATGTTCCATTCTGCTATTAATCTATTGCAATTTAAAAAATTTTAACAATATTGTAGGTTTTTGGGGGATAATCCTGCTTTAGGGTTATTATGTCAGTGGCATAAATTAGTTCCCATAATTTTTTCATCAGTATCTCACATCAAATTTTGTTTTTTTGACAAGCCTACAATTCCATCATATCATTGTCTGCATTTGCACACACCCTGACCCCAGTCGTGTCAAAGTTCAAAGGTTCATCAGTCCTCTAGCATGCGAAATAACTGATAATGATGCTGAGCTTACCAAATCTCAAATGAAATACAATACAATCTCAAATGTCCTTCCCTGTCCTTCTGCCGTGATCTTGGAGAGGTTTTGAAAAGGCCCTTTTCAAGTGATGCATGATTAAGCAGGTAGCGAGATGTGAGCACACTTCATTGCTGTTAACTTATGACCTTACCTCAGAGGTTGGTAGTGCTTGGTTACATTTATTTGAGTAACCCTTTGACACCATACTATTACTTCTACTTGAGAGTACACTCTTAATGGTGTAGATGTTTTTGTTATGATTACAAGTGACAAAGGCTTTGTGTTGACAATATTACATGATTAAGATATGACATTTTTGTAATTTGTCTATTATTATTATTATTTATTTTTTTTTTTTTGGAAATACCAGAATCCATGCATTTTTAAATGTACTGTCTGCTTATATTAATATCTAAATCAGACAATATATTTTCAGTTTGGAAGAGTGTTCATCCAGTGATCTAAAGGTTGGCAGTTCAAATCTCGCCCTCAACAAAAACATCATTGGTTGAGTGGTCAAATCCACTGAGCCACAGGTGAATGCTGTTGTTGTGCCCTTGGGCAAGATACTTAACTATATTGAAAAGATAAAGAGCTGTTTGGATTTTTTTTTTAAATTCACCTGTAAGAACCAATGCACAACAGTAGTTCAATCAAGGTAGTTTGTCCAAATATTCACAAATGCAGGATTTCTATTAAAAATGAATATAATAATAAAAAAAGAACTGATTGCTCATTGTCTCAAATTGTCCTAAAGTGTTTTTCTTTCTGTTATTTGGATTTGAGTGGCTTCACACAAAAGAAGTGATTTGGTGTTAAGAAGAACCTCATGTACCTCTCCTTATACTTGTGTGGTCGCTCTTTATCAGTTTATCTCCCAAATCCATCTTCATCCTCTCTATCATCCCCTGCTGTTCATCCTGTCTTCCTGCTGTCTGTGATGGGCACTCACAGCTTTTTACTGTTCGCCATGGCTCTATGGGCTTGTAATCACCATATCTCAATTGCGTATATTAAGAAAAAACATGCACATTTTCTGACATTTCTGATTTTGCAATTGTGAATTCTACGTTTAGTTTTAAAAGTAGGATTCTGTTCATAGTGCACATTGCAAACAATCCCAGGAGCAAAAACATTTGAGATATGATTGGACTGACATCTTTGGACAGGAATCTCTCACACCTTCTAGGAATTATTCTTTATATGGCGGTCCATCTACTTAATTAAAAGGGAAATTAATCAATATTTCCAATTAATTATTAATATAATTTTTCATTGTCGACATGTGTCCCTGTTGTCTCAGCTTGTCTTCTTATAGATTTGACTTCCTGTCTGCGTATCTGAGCACCATTCAGTGTTGATTCTATTACACCTCTCATAACTAGTGGATAATTCAATAAGCACGGTGGAGATGACACACTTTTATAATCTATTTAATGACCCCACTGTACTGATGAAATGTGTGTCTCACTCTCCCCTTCATATCGCCTATACCTCTTCTCTGCTCCTGTCTTTTTCCTTCTGGCCTTTTCTAACCATCATGTGTGTATGTGTGTGGGTGTTTGTGTGTGTGTTTGTGTGTGCAGGGTGTTGATGGAGAGCGTTTCGAATGACAGCCGGGACAGTGGTCATCACTGGTGGAATCCTAGCAACAGTAATACTACTCCTTATCATCGCTGTACTGTGCTACTGTAGGCTGCAGGTAAGAAACACACTGATTGGTTCTAGTGCCACTGTAGGGACAGGTAATATACCAAAAAACATAACATCATGATTTTTACTAAGTCCGGTAATGGTCTATGCACATAAACACTGTGCAAGAAGTCAGAATTTTGACCTATGATGCAACAATCCAGGCAAAAGGAAAATAGAGCATTTCTGAGTTAGCAGAGAAGACGATTTTGGAGTAATGGATTAATGAATCAAGTGTGACTGAAGCTAAATACAACCCAAGGTATGTTTTTGATGAGAGGATAACACATTTTAAAAAAAAATCAAGTTTGTGATGCAATTTTTTTTGTGAGAGAGAGAGAAAGAGAGAGATAGAGATAGAGAGAGATTGTAGATTGTCAGAGCATGTAGGCTAACCAATAGGACGTGTACACAAGGCATCTGTTTGAGCACTGAGCTACATTAAAATTAGGCTAATTCACTATAATAATCTCTTTCAGTTTCATTATGTGTCCTCCACTACCTCTACTTATTTCATGCACTGAATGACTGAAATATATAACTTATGTCATTTGAAGAATCAAGAAATTAAAATAATATCATTACTGAATCTATTAACATCAACAGACTTCTAAACAGATGGAACAAAACTCAGAGCTCAGTGTTACTTCTTATAAATACATCTTTCTCTGCAGAGGAAGAACAGCTAAGCGACTTGGATCTTAAAATGGTTATGCAGTCTTTCCTCTATGGCTTAATTAGTGTTGCAGGTTTTCTGAACAGCATGTAGCACCATGTCTAATTTCATTTGGTGCCAGGATGAATTATGACTCACTCTTTGCTATCAGAAATAACTGTGGGACTGCTATATACATTCTAGATAATTTGGTAAGATTGTCAATAAATAATAATTAATTTAGCCATCTGTCACTTAAACAAACAGATTCTCCATTACAAGTGTTAAAAAAAAATATTGCTGCCCTGGAGTTGTGAAAGAAGTATTTCTCATCAGTGTATGGGATCCATGACATTGGGCTGTATTATCATATCATACGAAAGCAGGACATAGTCTGGGTTATCTACAAACAGAGACATTGCTTACCATGTGTGCAGAGAATACAAAATCCCCCAATGACAAAGGCATTGGGTCTTTATTACATTCACACTGAAAAATTTGCCATGTGACAAATGGGGGAAGGGAAGAACACACTGCTTGTTAGGATGTGAGTAAATATGTAGTTATTCAATGAAATACATGAGTTAATCTGTGCTTCTTCCCATGGCCAAGATATGCTGTTGGACAGCATGAAGATTTTAGGTCCAATGCATTAGACTGCAGAAAATGTCAAAGTGCCAGATCCTATGGGAGGGTCTTAAATTTATGAAGATCTTCTGGTGTCATTTTTAAACACGTGTCATGTGTACACTGTCACTAATACGAATGAAGAAGCATCTGAATGGAATTTTGCAAGTTATTATGTTCATTGTTATACAATGTACAGACATGCATACTGCTATTACTGTCTTACTACTGTACATTTATAGTGTCTGGGGCAAGAGAGTAATGTAATGTATTTTGTTTTTACTGTTGCATGATGAGGGGGCGCTATTTGAAAACTTATTAGATATGGCAAAAGAGAAAGGGTACTTTTCAGTACATACAGAGAACTGAGTTTGTCTATCTGTAATGGAGTATGGATTCTACCTCTAACCCACTGTGTTGCATTTATTGCATTCAAATTACTACATTTTTCAACTGTTTCACTTTTAAGATCTTTATTCTTCTCAAGCTTTAACTGACAATTCAGCATACATTACCTAAATCATCCAATATTTCCTCCAACAAGACCAAAAACATTGGCAAACAACAGCAATAATAGTGTAATCAATCTCTATGTATAGCAAGTTGCTCATTGTACATAAGTGTTTATATAAGTGTTTACATGGCACATGGCACTGACTGCTTCTTTCTCATTCTAACAGTATTATTGTTGTAAGAAGGAGGAATCCGAGTCGGAGGAGGAGGAGCCAGACTTTGCTGTCACTTCCCGCCTCCCTCCCGTCCACTCGAACCACAACATTGTGGCGGCCACCGCTGCCGCCTCGGCCATCCCCAATGGCCCCGCCCTTTTCTCCACCCCCCCTCTGGCCAGGAAACTGACGCGCTCACAGACCTTCTGTCCCTCATGTACACACTATGAGCTGCCCTTTTACCTCCAGCCCCCACAGTCTCAGCCTCCGCCCCCCCAGTTGCACCACCAGCCAGACGGGCTGAGGAATGGAGGGGAGCGCATCAGCTACCGCAGCGTCCAGCAGCAAGAGCTGGACCTGCCTGTGCCTGTGAACATCACAAACTACCGCAAGCCCCAGCTGGCCCGCTCCGTCACCATGAGAGACATGTTCCAGCGCAGCTGTAGCATCAGCACTGATGTCTAGCTGTATGGACGGTGTGTGCTGACATGGAGCTGTGAAGCCAGGGACTGACCACAGTCTTCTCTCATGTAATATAGTGTCCACTGGTCTGCCCTCACAATGGAGGACACAGAGGGCTCTCAGGACTGGATTCTATGGTACTATGCGCTGGTCCCGGACCTTAAACTCATTTTAAGTTAAAATAATTTTATGATAAATTTCCATTTTTCTTCTTTTTTTAAAAAAATGTATCTGTCTTAAATCTTAATTCTACTTTCTTGGACCCATAGACGATTGATTGCCACTTTGTCAAAACAACATCAGCAGGGATTTCTCTGTGCTATAGCTGCTAAAATCTGATTCGGACTGGTGTGCTGTTAACCTCCTGTGTGCTGGATGATCTATTGGCAGATTAAAAAACAATGGGGTGGGAAAGCCGGATGACCGTTTTAAACCAATGCCATACAATAATGCTTAAGACATGAAGGGCTTGCTGAAGATGAAACTCCCTGCTTGTTTTCCACATCATTTTCAAGCACTCTTTCTGAAGCTAATGTAATGCCACAGAGTGCTACGGAGCAGACAAAGGCTTGCCTGTCATGGAGGGAGGAGGCTTGCTGCCAAAAGGCCTCACTTGTTTGTTTTGTGTGCATGCATGTATCTGTGTTTGTTTGTTTTTTAGCAGTACAAATTTTTTCTTCTATCAGTTTTTAAACCTGTGGCGGGTTGCAATAATCTATAGTTTTAAATGAGAGGCTGTTCAAATCATATTTCATCATGGCCATAGACAAGATCCATTCATGTAAATTATTTACAAGATAATGAAGGTTTAGTAACTTTATTTTTAATGGAGTTTTATTTTGTGGATATTCTGAATATGTGGTAATATAATGACAACACATACTAATGATATTTTTTTATGTTTTGTCTTTAAATCCCCTTTAGTAATTTTAGGCCAATGAAGTCAAATATCATGAGGTGAGAAGAATGTGTGTGAATGTTACCATTGCTCTTGACTCCATCCAGTGGTATAATGCCATATTAAAGTTGGAAAGCAATGAGCAAAACTCAATCTAAGCCTGTTTGTTTTTGTCACCTTTATACCTCTATGTTCTGTTATGTCTTTTAAAGTTCTTCACATTTTCTATCACCACTACACCAACTTACTGCTGATAAGAGTTTCACCTTCAGATGCTTTGGCTTGTGTTGTACCCTGTTTTATAGCATTTATTTATATTCTATTCAACATATACACACACTACCAGACCAATGTATTGCTTGTTTTTCAACAGCAGAAATTCTCTCTAAAGCTCAATTTTTATTATGGATTTCATCAACTTATTTTCAAGTACTCTTACAGCCAGGACAGACTGATAATGGACATTGGATTTGAATGAGATATGATATAATGATAGTTTTACTTCTTATTTTGAAGTTGGTATGTTGTTCATATTAATGCTCCTTTTGTTTCTGAATTTTATACCATTATTTTTATAAATATATCTATATTATTAGCCATTAGCAATTCATTTTCAGGTGTTTATTGTTGAGTTTCTTTTCTTGTGATATGTGCTTTCCTGCAAACACATTGGCACATACAGTACAACACACCACATATACAGTAGTTCTTATATGCTATGCTTTCCTTATTAAACAATGTGACCGTTGCACAGGAAATATAGTGCCATAATTAACTATGAGAGTTTAAATATGATTATTATGATACATGTATTCAAATGCAGAACTGCTTATATCTGAGATCACTTCTTTATTATCCAAATGGTTTCCAGTCTCAGTGCAGCAGAAATGTTTCTGTCATTGTTTTTAATGTATAACTAACAAACACATTGTTGCTAATAAAACATTATAAAAGTCCATGGTGTGTTTTTTAATCTTTCAGTATATTGACACAGGCCTAGTGCTTTCGTGAATTAAATGTTAAAGTAAATACATACAGTAATTCCAGTATCCCCATGATTAATGGCTTTGACAGTTAACACAGATGAACTCCTCCAACCACATGCACTGTCTGGTTGATTGCAGCTGTGAGTGGATCTTGCTCAAATAACCTTCAAATAAAAATAAATGAGACGGGTTTAGTCTAGAGTTGAGAACATGAATTGCACTATGACATCTGACTTCAACAGGCCTTTACTCAAGTTTTGGACTTTACAAATAGATGGTTTAAAGTGTTAAGTACTAGATTAACGCACACATGAAAAATAGTCACCTCACCTATGAACACAACTCAAGAAGGTGTTCTTCCCAGTTGATCATGTGGATTTTGGGAGATGTAGTTTGGGCTTAAACAAATCATCAGTTTAATTGCAATGCCAGTGAAAATAAGGTATGCATCTGGAAAGGCATCTGGCAAACAACCTGCTAAATCAATCTGCAACTAACAGCTCACTCGAAAGCACTTTAATAACCATGCATATAAATAAGAATGTATAGGGCATTCAACATATTAACTCAATATAAGCCGCTTCTCAGTGATTTTACACATTACTTGGCTGCTTAATTGTGTGTAGCAAACAGCAGCCTTCATTTTCATGACTTGATGGGGTGTTACTGTCTAACTCAGAGTGGTGTGAATTATTTAGAGTAAGCAGTGCTGGTAGCATGGCCTTTGGAGGTGGTGTGTTATGACATTGAATCATTGCCCAGGCCGGTGGGCCCTGCACTGTACGGCATAGGCCGACCCCCCCTCTATCTGCTGTGTCCTCCATTCTCTTGGATTTCTTGTTCACTTTGCCCTTATGTGGTTGTAGGCTTATATAGGTAATATACATAGCATAGTGGGAAAAAAACTGAGGCACTCAAAAAGTACAAAATAATTAAAAGCCTTTAATACCACATGGCAGATAAAGTTAAAATACGCCAACGCTTTTCGGCCCTTCGGCCTTCATCAGGGCAAACTCCAAAGCCTTGCAGAATATACATAGCATATTTCTCTCAACACAATTCTCCATCAAAACAAATTAATTGTAATGAAGTAATGATATTTATTCAGCACAATATGAGACCAAGAAAGGACCATGTCTGTCTGAATATTCAGTTACGACCCAGGCATCTGATCAGTAAGTACCTAATTTCTTGCCATTCGATAAGCCAAACTATTGTTTTGGATACTGACACACACTGAATACATGGTTACCTGCCTTGCTCACCTCCTCCCTTTATTGTTTTGTACTCCTGTTTTTAAGAGAGATCCTTTCTCTGCTGCACTGTCTTTGCTTGGCTATGTGCCCACTGCCCACTGAACCAAAGAGGGCTGGTCTTCCATTATAAATGGCTCTGCATATCTACTTGAGGCTCTTATAAATCGGGACCTAAAGCTGACTTTGTTTTAGAGCTATAGCCTATTGTTTTTTTTTTTTTGTTTTTTTTTTTTTTTTTTCTGCAGCACTCTTTATGCCCTTGGGAAAGAGCTTCAGACCTCTGTAACTTAGGCCAAGGCCGGTGTTCGAAAGAAAGAAAGAAAGAAAGAAAGAAAAAAAAAAATGTAAGTACAGACTTAAGGTCAAGCTGAGTAAAAAAAAAAAAGAAAAAAAGAAAAGAAAAGCCATATTCCTAAATATAAATATGTATATGCTACACCAGTTACACCAGTTATGTATAGGCTACACCACTTAGACAGATTTTATTGATCCATAAGTGACATTACTTGGACATAGTAGCTCACATATTATATTATGGTAACAAAGAGAAAAACTATAAATTGTAATAATACAAATAAATGTTCACAAGGATCTAAGGTAATGCAATAATATTATTGTAGAGTCAAAGTGATTTTTTGGATTTGCATGGATGCAGGGTTGACATTTTATTGAGAAAAGCATTAGGCCTAATTAAATCTCAGTTTGGCCGGTGCTCTGCAGTTCTAGCCAATATTTTATGTTGGGGACAATCTACGGACTAATTCGTCCAGCTTACTTATTTTAATATGGCCTTCAGTCTACCTCTAAAAACTCTCTACAAGCACATTATGTGTAAACATATTCAAATATAATTTAAAGTAATGGAACAGCGCTGTAAAATGACGTCACAAACTTTAATAGCAAAAAGTATTCTGATACTTTGCTGTCACCTTGTGGTTAGGAACAGTGACACAGAATTATTTTCAGTGGCGCTCCCGTTTAAAAAATAAAAGATAGGTAGGACAATAAATCTTAATCCAGCCTATTGCCTATAGTTAATTCATGACATAGCCTACACTTATAGTAGGCTACAGAAAGGACATAAAACTAAAGTGGGTAAAAATACACTAAATATGCCAGACAGTTTTTCACAACAGAGGAAATCATATTTTTAGGGATTGTCATAAACGTAAACATATGAGTAAGGTAAGCAAGATATCCATGAGATATAAAAGTTGAATGAACTTAAGATAGATCGTTGAACTTAGGCAACAACTTCCGCTAAACAACCAATGAAATGTTTTCTGACGTAAACCGCGAAATGTTGAACACTTCCTGTATAGTGTAGTGGATTATTTATCCACTTTGAAAACCTCCTTACTATTAATTTCAACGCATTTTAACTTTTTTTTTTTTAGTTTAAAGACAAAATGGATACAGGTCAATCCACAGAAAATCATTCAAGTATTACTAAAACTCACAGTTCGACACCAAAGGGGAATGAGTTGAGAAAAGAAGTCCAAGGACGGTAGGCAACTCAGCATGCTTTAAAATAGATCATGTTCAAGTTGTCAAGTTGCACTATAAGACTTCTCTGGTAGAGTTTCCATCACTTGCTTGCCACATGGAGATGTCATTGCTTTGATTGGAATGTGCACAGTATGACTTTTAACCTATCTATATCTTGCATTTGTTCATTCACATGCGTTTTGAACCCCAGATCTGATTTAACTTGGCCTGGTGGTGTCTCCTTCTCCATGAAGATAAGTTTAATGCTATACTGTGGAATATTCTAAGCAAAGCAATAACATTTCCCCACTCGGACGTGCACGTGCCGACTGCAGAGTAATAGGGAGCTGAGCTTCTGAATTATAATTTCCCCACTAATACTTTCATAATTGGGCCTTTTGTATTTTTTTTTTTTTTAGATAATACATTCTTTTAAAGTAATAAACGTGAAGTAAATTAAAGTAATTATTGCTGTTTGTGTCTAGATATTATAATAGATCATAAGTTGAATATTCATGTAAAATACATACATTTTATTTTAGAACACCTTGCTCCAAGTTCAAGAAAGTCCACTCAAATTTTAAATCACCAGTAAGTACCCTAATTTTAATAAAAAAATATCTTATTCTATATACATAGCATCCCTTCTTGCTGGATTGGTGATTGTGTGTCTTCAACTCATAGCTTCAAGTACCACGGAGTGCAAAAGTGAGCCCTGAAGAGGAGGTGTCCGAGCTGCAGAGGAGAAGGGAGCAGCTGGACTCTGAGATAGCCCTGCTGGAGGCTGAGTGAGTGCAGCTGTGTCTGTTTATTCTGCCTGTATTTTTGTCTTGGGTCCAATTAAAAATGAAGGCCTTCAGAGATGAGGGGAAAGGTCAGTGAGGTTGGTGGCTGGTCTGTTGACTTTGTGCTGTAAGAATAGGCACCAGAAAATAAGCACATGGGGATTTCGTTTTGTCTTTAAAGTGCACATGACAGGTTAGACTAAACTTCCCATTAAAACTTAGTTACAGTTGTTACATTAAAGATGTTGTGCAATTGTGCCTAGTTTTCTGTTTCATAAAAATATGACATAAACGTAGAGGCAATTCCATAGCTGTTACCTATACCAAACATACTCATACTGTTCACAAGGGCCAAAGCTCATCTTATTTGCACAATATTGATTATTTTACAAATAAAACAAATGACTACATCTTTATTCTGATCAATTAAGGTTTAAACTGTCAGCAAAATGTTTTCCTTGAAAGAACTTGATCTCAGTTTTGGATGTAATTTTTTGAGTTGATGACATAAATGGAGGTATTCTGTTTTAAAACTCACCACATTTTTTTCCACCAAGTGCCATTTAACTGATGTAACACTTTGATAAATATTTACCACCAGTATACTAAACCTCTCAACTGGAAGTAAAATTCTGATTATTTGTTGTTTTTTTTGCAGAGGGTGCAATGTTGAAGAGCTGGAGCAACATATAGACAAGCTGCATGAATACAACGATATCAAAGACACTGGACAGTTGCTTCTCGGTCGCATAGGTAAGGTGGTGGGACACCGCCTGTGGTTTTCAAACCTCTGTTTCTTATGCCTGCTACAATTCAATACATACAGTTAGTTACAACTTTTGCCTGGGCCACTGAAGTAAGGCAATACCCAATTTTAATACCCAAACCTCGGAGTAGTAAAGCATCTGTCTCCCTGTGCTTAACATATGATCAAAAGCTAGAGTGCAAAATGTTGGCTTAAACTATGACTAATTGAAAATTGAAAACATGCTGTAAATTTCTTTGGTGCACTTCAAATGTCTCTACACAATAATCACTAGAGGGAAATGCATAGTGATCTAATATAAAATATTATATTATTACGGTTGTAATTTCTAGAAATTGTGAGTGATTTGTATCTAAAATGGAATGGAACTTTTATGTCATACCATTTTCTGTTCTATATGTTTCTCAGTGTAGGATTATGTGCTTTATGTTAAGATGAATAGTTTATTTTGTACTTTTATTATATTTAGCTTCTATCCACGAGCAGTAGACATGCTCCAGGAGCACAGGCTTAGATAAAAGGCCTGAAGGGACTCAGTGCAATACTTTATTTATTTATTTATTTTATTTATTAAATGTTTTTTATTGGTATGGATGTGAGGATGTGTCTATATTTATTCATTTTTACTGCTACAGATTTGCTCTGTGAAAGTTTTGTTGTATTTCATACAATGACAATAAATAAATCTATGTATTTAGTCATTTAGGATTCGTGTCCTTTATTAGCTTCACATCTGTCCCAAATTCATGGTAAAATGACGCAATGAAGACAGTGAATGGAGATGGCATTTCCCTCTAACACAATAGCCGTCATTCAGTTACACCAGCACAATCCCTGCATCTGTCTGCTGTACAGATGCATACTTACAGTGACCCATACACAGAGTCAAATACAAACTCGCTCTTCCTCTTATTTCCCCTTCCTTGCCCTCTCAAACACAGACACACTTTTATGACGCTTAAACTCTATGTTAGTCTGAGAGATTGTGGGCAGGCCATTGCTCTCAGCAGAAGACAGGCCCCTTAGTTCCCCCCAGAAGTGAGTAGCTTTGTCTGTCACTTCCAGGGTTAGAGACCTCAACAAATCCATTTTTAAATAATCTTTTATGCTATATTTGATCATACATAGTGTGTATTACATTTGGGGCAATTCAACTATTTTTTTAATCAAGAGTGAGATGCAGTCATTTCTTGTTGTCATTGACATGCTTGTGCCTTTTTAATCAAGAGGTCCACAGCCATTTCTGTCAGTAAAGCTTGTAGCTTGGAGCAGAGTTCATGCTTTTAAGAAATTAACAGTTTTTGCATTTTGTTCAGGAAATTTGTATTAAATGCCATTTTATTTGTATTTTAAAAAGTCAAATATAGTTTAAGTTAAAAGTGAATTCAAGTTAAAGTTATTAATTTTAGTAACTCCTTCTATTGCTGAATTTAGTTTAAAATTATTGTAAACTTCCCATCAATGTTCCTCCATATAATATGTGATATTCCTCTTTCCTCCATTTTGTATGTTACTAACACTGCTCCATAAACTACAAACTATTGTAACCTTTCCATTGCTTTCCTTTTGTTTGTAGCTGCTTTGAGGGGAACTACCACTCGGGACCTCTACACTCACTTTGGCCTGGATTTAGATGACTGACAAAAGTGGATTCACTTTTGTCATTCTATGGATTGAGACCATGAATGTATTATATGTACTGTATGTCTTATACATTTTACATGTTTTGTTATTGAAAATGTTTAGTTTGACCTAACAGTGTTATCGAGCCAACACCAGCTAATGTGGAATTTTACACTACATATCATGTTCATGTTGACTCAATAGTTCAATGTTTACAAATGTTTGTTTTATTAAATGTCCTGTTCTCTAATTGTTATGGATTATATATCTATGTCTATTTATTATGTCAGTATAGCAAAGGGTCAGGTCAGTTTGTGTCGCCAAAACAAGTGAATCATTAAAAGTATGTAAAACAACTGTAAAAGGGTTTTGTTGTTGTTTTCCATCTGAATGTTTTTGAATTTCATTGTTGATTTCATTGTTGGTTGCGTACTTCCTGTCTTTAGTTTACCAGTGACTTTAACACAAGAAACCAGCAGCGCCTAAGCCATAGTATTTTTGGGTGTGCCCTTATCTGTCCAAGATAAGGCACTTTACAGCCCTGACACTATCTGTTGGTTCTTTTGAGACGGCGTCTATCTGGAGAATGTAAAAATAAGAAAAAGCATGTTCTGAAAGATGTGCAGTTTGCAGGTTAAAGCTCATCCTGCTCTGTTTATCTTTACATTATCCATCATTTCTAACTTATCTTTTAGACATCACATAAATGGAGGTCAATGGAGCATTAATAAGACCATGTATGCATGTCAAGTGCTGATCTAACCATTTGCATAGTGTTGACAAATCATCTCGTGTTAGAAAGAAAATAATTCTGTTCTTGTGACTTCATTATGTGGTGGAAGTAACCCTTTGTAACTCATCGCTATGTTGTAATTTCAGTTGATTAAGAAATATGTTCTATAATGTGTCAGAGCATACAAAGAATATGAGGACACTACTTTTGGACAGTGAACTTATTGGATAATTTATTTTGAGGAATCTGTGACTCCTGTCTTATTCAGCACTGTCACTATTTCAAAATTACATTTAAAATAATAATAATAGACTTTATTTCGATTGCACTTTACATTTTATCATTATATTATAATTTATATTATAATATAATATATAAATCAATATATATGCAGTATTATATATATATATATATATATATATATATATATATATATATATATATATATATATATATATATATATATATATATATATATATACACACATACACACACACATTTTTATCATCTTTAAAATCTTTATAATTAATAAACAGCTTTTGGTAAACATTGGAGTGATTGGACCCATGTAGTACAGTACATGTAGTAGCTTAATTTCTCCCATCCTGGTGTTTCTGCAAGTTGATGGGGTCAGTTGGATATTGACTGGACTCCAGGAAAATAGCACATTTTTGCAATAAAGGTCCTATATTACACAGAATTAGGCTTTAAGCCTTGTTATAATGTTGTTACCTGCTTAAAACATATCTGGAGTTGTGTTTTGTTTCATTCACACATTTCACTAACCCCTTATTATGGGTCTGTCTACATCTACAAAGGTCAAAATGCTCTGGAACAGTACCTTTTACCTTTAGTTGGAGATGGGCAATTTCAGGACTGAAATTATCTAAATGATTCTAGTGAAAGTGTACAGAGTTTAAAATCACAGTTGAACATTTCCTGTATTACCACATGACATCACAAGGTGGAACAGATTTGGTGGTTTTCTGTTTGAGAGAACACCTTAGTTTAAATATGCAGGTTTGTGTGTTAAACATGGGTGAATGAAACAAACACAACTTTTTTGTTGTTGTTGTTGAGGAAACAACCTTATAACATAGCCTACTATTAACTCTTTAAGTAGTAGACTATATTATGATCAGTTTGCTTTTGACTTGACTATGAGCTGTTGACCTTCTGGAATTATCTGCTGGTTACTCATTTTATAGTCCTTTCGGTGGCCCCTGATCGACATACGCCCTCCAAACCCTGCGCAGTTCATGCTCAGTGATGAATGGAAGTAACAAGCCGGACCCACGTCCGCCACGCTGCCGTGCGCACTAGGGCCTGCTGCCGCCTGCCGGGTATGTGTACAGTGCGTATGCGCCCCGGCCTACTGCATTTCACACTCCTCGGCCATGCCGCAGACCCCGCCCCTGTCTGATGGGGTGTATGTAAACGAAATCTGAAGCGCTGACTGGTTGAGGCGCCCGTCCGTCAATTCTTATTCCTGATGCGCTGATGGGATGCTGACGGTGGTGGGCGGGCACAGCTAAGGAAATTATAAGGTCATTTGAATTACGCTGGCTAGCGAGCGTTTCGGCTACAATGAACTGAAGAAATTATATGAATGGCTGCCACAGAGAGCGAACGATGAATGCAGGGTCAAAGTCGACGCGTGCAGTCAGATGAGTTACACTGTGGCCTCGGCTCGCGGCTGACACGAAGCGCATCTTCCCCTGGTGTTATTACTAGCGAGAGAGGGTATCCCGGTGCGTGTGTCTGCGCATTTCAGTGAGCCTCTGTGACAAGCCAGGCGAGCCGCGAGGAACGGAGGGGGCGACCAGGCTGGCCTTTAAGCCGATCAAGGTGGAAGCGCACACTGCGAGCTTCACATAGGATTTCTCTGTGAACCTTCATGTTGTAGCTGAGGGATATAGTTGAAAGGTATGTAGCGCGTTTTTCATTACTAGTTTATGAGTGAATGGGGGTTGTGCTTCAGGGGAAGACAAGGAGCCGGGCGGTGGATCTCTTGTCCTCTACCAACCTTGTGCGCGCACAAACCTTTCGAACCATTCGCAATGAAGGGCTACCTTTTTCTTCATTCTTTACTCTTAGTCTTAGTACTATGCTCTAAAATACGTATTTAAAATGTCAGCTCCTCCATCAAAGCCTCCCACAACTGTCAGCCCTGCTTCAAGCTGAAGCGTATTCAGATTCCCAGGCGCGTTGCGCGCACAATACCTTACATCAGCCTACCGCTTCCCCGAATTCTACTATTATAAAACATGCTATAAAAGCACATGGCAAGACTACAGAGTGTTGTTGGCAACTGTGGGTTGAGCCTCGTTTTGCTACCGCAATATGATGTAGCCGTTACGCGCTTCTGATATTTCCGGGTATAGCAGGAGCAGATGATGAAGCTGCTTTCTGTGCTACTGCACTGTCCTGTCAAATCCGCTCGTATTCATTTGCTACTACTGTATGCTCATAGAGTCATCCATTAGGCCTTTTTTAATCATAGGCCACTAACTGAATGCAAAAGATCTCCTTAAAAGCACATTGCAGGTTGGCCTTGTCAGCATTTCAACCCTTCTGTAAATGGGTATCGGTGCTATTACACATCAACAATGCAAGTGTCGTTGCCTAAACGCCACTAGGCCTAACCAAACTAATAAATAGGTAATAAGTGGTATGTAAACCTATCGTTGCTTCTTTGGCAGCATCCTTCTAGCTATCAGGTAGCAATGAACACCACTGACAGTGTCAACACATGCTTCTCTGGGCTGTCACTATGGACTCCTGGCTTTAAGTCAGTGTGTCCCCAAGGTACCCTAGTCTCCAACTTTATTCACTCTAAACAATTTAACTTATGTGTTTTTCTTTATACATGCTCCCCCTGGATTTAATTCTAGAGAAACATCAGGTCAAGTACCACTCCATGCTGATGACACCCAGCTTTATCTTCCCTTCTCCCCAAAAATAGCTCATCCTTTGCCACTCTCCATGTCTGATTTGCGGGGGAAAAAAAGGGATATCCTTTAATTTTCTCCAAATGGCTAAATGAAAATACGACTGAAGTTATTCTATTTGGACCCTACACTGAAACCCTCACATTTGATCTTAGGCCTCTTGCTACAAATTCCCACAGTTCTGCAAAGAACCTTAGTGTTTTTATGGACTCTCTTGTCAACTAAGACAAATTGCCAAATTAGAACCAATCCAAACATGCAATAACTTTGAAACAATCATATACGCTTTTGTATCAAATAGACTGAACTACTGCATATTCAGGCCGCCCACAATCGTTCTTCAATAGGTTACAGTTAGTCCAATTTTTTGCTGCCAGACTGCTCATCGGGTCCAAAAAGAGAGACCATATTGCACCCATCTTAGCCCAACTCCACTGGTCAACTGTTAAATACAGAATTTATTTTAAAATGTTATTATTTGTTTTTAAATCACTCAACTAACTCACGCCACAGTACAACACTGATCTTTTAACCCCACACACTGCCCCTTGGTCTCTCAGATCAAACTATCTCAATCTACTGTCCATCCCACCATCCTTCCTCAAAACCAGGGGATGCTGAGCTTTTTTTGTTGTGGCCACTAAGCTTTGGAATGCCCTCCTTCTTCATCTGAGATCTTGCTTCTCCCTAACTCGCTTTAAATCCCTTCTATAAACACATTTTTCCAAGATGGCATTCATCAGCCCATGAGATCTACTTCAGGCTATTATCTATGTGTATTAAACCAATGTTTTATGTAATAGTTTATATATTTTATATTTGTGTTATGGTTTTCCAATGTTGTGCCTCTTGCCATAAAGCACTTTGGTGCAACGTGTTATGATTGTTTTAAATGTGCTATATAAATAAAATTACTTGACTAATACAGAGTTCACATGATGTTGTGTTGGTTAGTGAACAGAATATTGCATGAATGACATCAATCACTGACCCATGTCGGTTATCTGGTCAGAACTTGCAGTTTCAGCAATTATTGCCATATTTATTGTTTATAATGCCTCCTATATTATCCTATATACATGGACACCCACTAAAACGTGGAATGTCAAGACATTTTTGAGTGTGGACCACAAAGAAATGTCTTCCCCTTGGCCTATTCATTTTGGTTTCACCATTGTGGCTGTGACAGGTTGTTTGGCCTGTTTCGGTGCATTTGTTGTTGTCATAGACTCAACCTTCTCTCACTTCTTTACATCTATGTTCATACTTTCAGGATGATGCGTTTGGCATGTTGCACAGCACTGCTGTTTGTGCTGAGGCTGTTGGTGGGCCTGCCCTGGTACCAGGTTGTCCCGGCCATTCTCATCTTCTACTTGGGCAGTGGAGGATGGAGCTTTCTACAAATATTTGCCAAAACTGTTAGCAGAGACCTACAGTAAGTATGTTTTATGTACACCATGAATTGAGTAGCTGTCATGAAAAATTATAATTGAGTAACAAGTTACAAGTCACTTGTTGTATTCAATGAATAATGCATACTGTATGAGTGATTGCTGGTTATAAAGCAGTATTTGAGCGAAAGTGAACAGAAAAGTGTATAGATAACAAAATGTAATTTATGCATTTTAAAGGAACTGTGTGTAATCTTAGTGTTTATTGTACTCCAATTACAACTGATTGCCAGTTCCTAAATCTGCATATAGAGGACACACAATTTTTTCAAAAGCTCAGAATCTCCAGAATTCACTCAGGGCTGCAGAGGCTGCACTAGCAATTAATTATTGCCTGTAGGTGCTGGGATTTAGGTTTAGGAGTTCTTTTAGTTGAAACCAATTGAATTTCAGCAGTGATACTAGTAACCCAAATGAGAGACTCATCAGATATGTAAGGCTCATTGGTTGTCTTGAGAACCAAAACACCAAATTATAATCTGACCAATATTAGGTCCAGTTTATGAAATCTAAAATTGAGTTCCTTTAAGAACTATTCTTAATAACGTCCAATCAAATAGTGATTTATTTTTTTCTACCTTGTGAATTTCAGTATCTTAATTCAAATGAATTTAAACAAATTAATGTAAAGTCAGTTACAGTATGCCTAACTCAGGTATGGTGAATAGACACCACATTAGGAAGCTGACTTATTCAACTTCACCAGTCTACTAGCACCCAACAGGATGTCACTGTGAGAATGTAAACCTCTAACATGCCTTTTCTTTAAAGTCCTGTTTCGAAATTCTGTGGTTGAGCAGGGTTCTTGACATAGGCTACTTGAGGACAAAGAATGAGACGGGGGAGGGTATTGCATTGTCCCACTACTACCTTAAGTTAATATTTACTGTTGGTTACCATGGTAACTGATATAATAGTCAACCTTTTTGATTTAAGATTTACTCAAAAAACATCTGATATGCATATACTGCAACATAAATCCCTACAATTATGCAAGGTGTGAAATATTGCTAAAATAATTAAATAAAACAAAAAGTACATTATAGTGAGTATGAACTAATATCTTTGCATTAGTGGATCCATTTGTTATATTAGCCTTAAACCTGCATCACAAAGAGGTTATCATAATGCAGCTCTCAACATCAATTAAAGTCTTGTGTGTATCTAATCCATTTGAGTGTATGACTTAAGGTAATTATAGTCATATAAGTAATCGGATTCTTTTATTTATTCCACTCAGAACCATTGCACCATCAATCTTGCAAAAACATCTCAATTGTTCCCTTGTTAGGACAAACTTTGCACTTTGTACCTGGAAAACTGCATGTAACAAAATGCACCTTTTATTACCTTTGTCCCTTTAAATGGGACAAAGGAGATGCATAAGACCATGTTTTGGACTGTATATTGAGAATTTATCAAAACTTTCTTTTAGGGCCGCATGTTTTTTAGAAATAGATCAAGTGAATATTAGATTTGCAATTTATATGTTTATATCTCAAATCAAGATTCAGTTCACAGTGCAAATTGTGCTTTTAATTTGCAATTCAGTTTTCAATACATATTACAATATAATATCCATATACATATATACATTTTTTTGTTTGTCTAATTCAAATATTTTATTTTCATTTATCTTTAGTGCAGCCTATGTGTTATTACGGGTGAAGCTGAATGTGAAACGTCACTTGCGGGAGAAGAACACCATCCCTAAGATCTTTGCAGAAACCGTCCAGCGTTATGGCGACAAAACAGCTCTCATCTTTGAAGGCACTGGAGAAAGATGGACCTTTAGACAACTTGATGTATATTCCAATCGAGTTGCAAACCTACTACTACAACGAGGTTTCAAGGTATGTTCAAAATGAGGTTACACATCATCACTAGTAATGAACACAATGTGATAAATGATGTGTTTTGTAGGAGGGGGACGTGGTGGCTCTGTTCATGGAGAACAGGTCACAGTACGTGGGCTTGTGGCTTGGAATGGCTAAGATTGGAGTGGAGGCTGCGCTCATCAATTTCAACTTAAGACTAGAGGCGCTGGTTCATTGTGTCACTATCTCCAACGCCAAGGCTGTTGTATTTGGGTCTGAACTGACTGAGGGTAAGATGACGACAAGGCAATACCATACCATACCAACTTTATTTATAAAGCACTTTAAGAAACTTTACAGTTGGCCAAAGTGCTGATGGTCAATATTACAACAAGTATTATTGAGGGCTCAAAGTTCAAGGTTCGTTTTTTAAGAATATTGTTCTTTTACACCTCTCTGTGTAGCCATGAGTTTCAGAGTAATAAAAAATAGGAGCAGGATCAGTTGGCAATTGAAATCTTAAAGTTCTCAAGATAGCACTTAAAACACAGTTTCTTATCTGTTTTGTTTCATGTGAAATGTAGAGAATATAAACCAGACAGACAGATAAATGTTTTAGACTAAAATTTAAGGCTTAATTTTGTACAAAAATGTCATTCTGTGTTAAATAGCAATTTGAATTTGAAGCAGAATGGAATGGAATTTAGCTTCTTTTCATGTTATTATGCACTTTGAAGACTTTCCTGTTCAAAAGATATTTTGTACACAATATTTAGTTTTCAGTTGTTAAATTAATGGTAATAGCCCTAATTTATCATCATTGGAAGATCTGTGGAAGATCTTTTATCTTTTCCCTATCACTATATGAGGTCAAAGTTAATGATAAAGCTAGATAACAAAAACAGACATTTCAGCAGATTTAATCTGATTGAAGATTAGCAAGTACTATTTGATTTATGTATTATATTGTTTATTGTATTATTGTATTATTTTCACATTTTTAACCTTCTTGAAGAAATCTTATATTATTAATAGTAGCTATGCTCAAACCATTTGTCCAACTACACAATGCACCACTTATCTTGTCAACACACCATGACATCCCCACATGATAAACTGTGAAATATTTGTCATGTTTACAATGTGGACAATATTCCACAGTATTCTGTTATGATAAAAGTGCTAATCTTCACAACTCTCAAGAGGGAATAAGCCAGCTGTAACAAATAGTCTCTAGGATCAGCATGTGCATTATGCCTTTAAGTAATTACAACTGCAGCCTCTTGCTACAGAGCAGAGCAAAAACAACCCTGCAGTGTTACTTCAGTGCCAGCATGACAGGCCAGGCTTAGAGTACAAGAAGGCACAAGTACCAGTCAGTGTATAATGTAAGTCTTTGTGATAATTATCCTACTGCCAGTATTGTATATATGTGTGTGGCAGAGATGTAACAACATTCTGGGGACTTGTACACTAGTCTCTTCATGGTCACTATATGGGGGCTTATATTTTTAAGTCAGGTCCTCGTGAGGTTCAGCAACAATATAGGGTTTAAAGTTAAGATAGTGGTTCATTTAGGATAGGGCTTTAAGTCATTGTTGTTAAAATGTTAAACCCAGTAAGTTCATGTCCATGTACTGTCCCCACAAAGTATGGAAACAAAACCTCTGTGTGTGTGTGTGTTTGTGTGTGCATCTAATGAATTTCTCCTTTGCTCTTCTAGCTGTGTCCGAGGTCCACAGTTCAATGAGAAAAACTGTACAGATGCTGTGCTCTGGAGAATGGGACCCCAAACGAGTCCCAGAGGGAACTGAGTGCCTGGAGACCCTGCTGGAAAGTGCCCCCTCCCACCTGCCCAAACAGCCCCAGCGCTGCTTTATTGGTGAGAAGATCTTGGAATTAGCATAATATAAACCCCAAAACATATGCATTATTTATTTATTATTTTTATTTCATCAAATAAAATTGAATAGAATATTACAATTAAACATGTCTCTTGTCCAGGCCTGCCAGGGACTACAGATGGAAAAATTAGCCCATTGGGCTAATTCTGGCATATTTACATTGTATGTTCATTAATCTGTATTGTCCCATAGTAACATCATTTTTAATTAATACATCTAAATTTAAACATATTTTCAAATGTAAGTTTTAGGTATCATGTTATCAAACACTGTTGGAAATGGTCTAGACTTTGTTGGCACACATTGTTTTAGGCTAGATTAAAAGTACTGTCTATAATACAGATAAAAATATCAAATAATAAAGCAGACAATATTACTGATAAATAAAATCTACACCGTGTGGCTTATGGCTGCATAGACTCACTGTTGTTTCATTGTCTGCTTCAGATCGCCTGTTTTACATCTACACTTCAGGAACCACTGGAATGCCTAAAGCTGCTATTGTTGTGCACAGCAGGTACGACGGAGTCATGTGGCTATCTGACACATAGGATCTGCAGCTGTTCTTTTTGTTGATCTGTGGAACTTTGGCATTGAATGTCATAACTGTGATAGAGAGGGGTAACATATGGAGGTTTTGAGTGACTCTTGTTCTGACTGAAGGTACTATCGGATGGCTGCACTGGTGTATTATGGCTTCAGGATGTCACCAGATGACGTTCTGTATGACTGTCTTCCACTCTACCACTCAGCGGGTAAGTGTGTATGAAAAGTCAGAAGCAGTAATACAAAAAATAGACAGCATTTGTCTGTGCCATAAGGGTGTCCTTTGTTCAAGCAACCCCTTATGTGAACCTTGTGTATTCATAGGGAACATTGTGGGAGTTGGCCAATGTATTATACATGGAATGACTGTGGTTATCAGAAAGAAGTTTTCTGCCTCACGTTTCTGGGATGACTGCATCAAATACAACTGCACAGTAAGTACAGTGCAGACTGCTGCATAGACATTTCTTATACACACTATCTATATATGTATTCTGAGTCTCATAGTAATAATTTTGTTCCTTTTGTTTGTAAATTGAAATAATCTATACTACAATGGAATCTCCATGCTTCTTGATGACCGACTCAAGTCTATGTGTGTTCTGTGCAGATTGTTCAGTATATTGGTGAGATCTGCAGATACCTGTTGAACCAGCCAGTGCGGGACACTGAGCGACAGCACAAAGTGCGCATGGCTTTAGGTAATGGCCTGCGCCAGTCCATCTGGGAGGAATTCATGAACCGCTTCAACATCCCACAAATCGCAGAGTTTTATGGAGCTACAGAGTGCAACTGTAGTCTGGGCAATTTTGATAATAAGGTAATAAAGTGACGTAATGTGTTACATCATACTAGAAGTTTCAGATATTTTCAGTTTCAGCCTTGTTGTATTACAAAACATGTGCTCTAGTGCTTATTCTTTATATGTTTCACTGTGTTGATGTAGGTTGGAGCATGTGGCTTCAACAGCCAGATATTACCTTTCATTTACCCAATCAGACTGGTGAGGGTGGACGAGGAAACCATGGAGCTGATTCGAGGGCCTGATGGTGTCTGTATCCCCTGTAAACCGGGTAGGTTTATTGCTGTCATATACATTCAGTAGATAGACTAATCAGTTGACCGATGCACTTTTGTGCATCTATTGGCTTCACAGCTGAAACATAGGCCAATGTTTTACTTGAGCTGAACCCTTAACTCATAAAATACAAGTACTGCATTATTTTCATTATTATCATCAAATTAGATCATTGTACAAAATATGAGTACTCAGCCTTTAGCTTTGCAGTGATACAGGGCCATGTATCTAAAAATAGAAAATATACATCTGTCATATTTTCATAAGCAGAGCAGTGCCTTGTATAGAGAGTAATTGGACATTTCTAAACATATTTGTAGAAAAATCTAAATCTGACCTATATAATTGCAACAAAATAACACTGGAGCTCATTGTCTACCAGCTACTACACACAAACAAACAAAAAAGGTACCAGCTTTGACCATGAACACATATCAATGGGTCTATTATTACTACTTGCATACAGTGAAAAAAAAAATTTTCTCTCGACAGGTGAACCCGGGCAACTAGTTGGAAAAATTATCCAGAACGACCCACTAAGGAGGTTTGATGGCTATGTCAACCAATCAGCAACCAGCAAGAAGGTTGCTCATAGTGTTTTTAAGAAAGGAGACAGTGCCTATCTTTCTGGTAATTATCATCTATCCTATAGTATGTCAAAATAATATGGAGTATTTGAACTATTCTGTTTCTTTTGTAGGTGATGTGCTCATCATGGACAAGTATGGCCACATGTATTTCAAGGACAGGACAGGAGACACGTTCCGCTGGAAAGGGGAGAATGTCTCTACCACAGAAGTGGAGGGAACTCTTAGCCGGCTGCTAGACATGAAAGATGTTGTTGTTTATGGAGTAGAAGTGCCAGGTAAAGCACTTCACTTTGTCCCCTCCAAATAGCAACCTGAAACAGCCAACATGCTACATAGACTTATCATTTAGCAACCCTGCCCACACAGAAATGGTTTTACTGTATTAGAACATTCTGTGACTGCTTTCATCTATGATCCTTTTCTCTAACTTTGACAACAGGCTCAGAAGGAAAGGCTGGAATGGCAGCTATAGCTGATCCTTCTCAGTCCAGTGACCTGGAACAGTTGGTGAAGGACATGGAGAAAGCTCTGCCTCCGTATGCACGCCCTGTCTTCCTCCGCTTTTTGCCAGAGGTCAACAAGACAGGTAAATATGACTATGATACTATAAATCTTATTACATTGTATGAAAAATTGCGACACTGAATATGAAATGTATTTATTTCTTCAGGAACATTCAAGTTTCAGAAGACAGAGCTACGCCGGGAGGGCTTTGATCCCAGCACAGTATCTGACAGGCTCTTTTTCCTGGATTCCAGTAGAGGGCGCTATGTGCCCTTGAATGAAGAGCTGCACTGCTCCATTATTGCAGGAAAAGTAAAATTGTGATGAAAAAGGACTACACTACAGCCCTACTGTGCACACACTGAAACTTGTTGAAAAAAAGTAAAAATTTGACAATTTGGTTCAGCAAAACAGATATGGAATGAAGAATCCTCTGCATCTGTCTGAAATAGCCATACAAACACAAACATGTGATTGCAGTTTTGATTAAACTTAACTACACAGGGCGCTGCTTTGCCTGCCCAGCCTCATATTTTCAAATATGATTTCTCTGGATACCTTAGCTGTACCAAGCGGGGTAGAAACCTAACAAACAGGACCCCAGCATTTTTTCAACAATCTCCGAACAAAAGCACCTCCAAGGGAATCCTCATACAAGCTCCACATTACAATTGGACAGCCGTACTCTTATGGGAACAAGGTTTGGACTTACCGGGCATTTGGAAAACACAAGCTTCAGAAACTTCAGACAACTTGAATGAGATTTTCTCACAGATTTAGTCATGATGTTCATGAATAAGTCAACAAGGTGTTTTATTAAAATACCATTGGCCAAACCTGCACAATTTACAAATGAATTGTCAAAGGTTGGACACTTTTCCTGTCTCTTTCACTTAATAAGACAGTTAATCTCAACTATTTAACTTCTGGTTACAAAGGACTTCTGCAAAGCAGTTCATCACAAGTGCAATAGGGCTTTAATGTGCAGTGTAATAACTGCTTTACCATGCTTGTGCTCATCTACAATATAACTGTGTGTTAAAACACCAAATATATTTAAGTTGTAAGTTCATGTTTATGAAGACACAGTTTCATCTTTATATAAGAATTGATGGGGAATTTGAAAATGTTTTTGTGTTGTGCAGGTTTTGTCCTAATGGTGAACTGCACCTCCACACCAATTTGCCTGATGTGTTCAATGTAACTGATGAGAGCCCTTTGATCCAAAGATTGAAAGTCTGGAGTTTGATCAGTTTGACCTTTGAGAGGAGAGATGTTTTAGTCCTAGATCTTCGTAAGGTGTTTGGAGTAGTTTTGTCCCACACTGTAGCAGTATGAGTGAGCGTCATTAGCCACAGAGCTCTGTGCCTTACTGTGAGCTCAGCTCCAGAACCACGGGCTCAGCTCCATGCTTACTGTAAAAATATAGTACTGTACTTTAATGCATTATCCTCCCTTAATGACAGCCACTTAGACATATTTTCATTGTATCTCAATCACCAACTTGGATATCATCAAGGGGTCATTGCACATCATCATGTAAACAAAATTTGAGAGTACATTTGAGAGCTGGGCATTGTCCCATTGTCTCTTTCTCAGTATAATTGAACTAAAATTGCACCTATCTACATTAGTGACTGAAGGTGCTTTCTAGGCAACAAATATGAGCCTGAGGCTGAAGCTTGGAACCAGTTGAAAGTTTAGCAGCATGACACTTGTATGTCATCTGGTATTGCACAAGCCTGGTTTACTACTAGAGATGAGTAGTCTAGAGCCTAAAGTTTACATTTTTTGGCAATTATAAAATATTTAAACACTCAATTTCTTTGAATTTCAAATTGAGTAAGTGGTAGTTGTACTTTGGGTGCAGCTAAACCATGCTACATGTCTCTTTAAAGAATTACACATTGTCGTCTGCCTGATATACTTTAGCGGTTTGGCTGTCTGCTTTGTCTGCATTGCATTGACTCAGTGATTACCCCCAACCCCCTTCCATTCTCCTACTTCTATGACTATCTATACAACATCTCTATCTGTCTCTGTGTATCATAGACTGAAAGAACTATATTAGGGCAAAGTTAGGATATTTTGTATGCTGACTGAATCTGTGTTTTTTGTTCAGAGTTTGCACTGACTGACAGTTGATCTTGATGATGCAAGCTGTTGACAGTGATGGCCATTGTTGCTTGTCACTTCCTTTCCCTCTTTGGGGAAAACCTAGACAAAATAGGACCTTAAAGTGGTTTTAGCAGAAATGACTTGATTCTTGCCTCCTCCTGTGCCACAGTGGATGGCAATTTGATCTTTTGTCTTGATTCTTTTAATGATGAGTGTGAAATGTTCTCATGAATGTCCACACAGAATACGAGTGACCAATGTTAACGATGTTGTACAGTGTGTATTTAAGGGAATACCGCAGCTGTTATGATGCTTCTGACCCGGATTTGCACTAGTGAACTGGGACCACCAGGGGGCGCATGACTAAACAGCTTCACTGCAGCACTCTGAAAAAAGATGTTTCCATGTTTGTAATAAGTTTAAATTATTTTTTAAAATGTCGATGCTTTGAATGTTTTAATGCTTTATCTGTTTGATTTTTATGTGTGAAATTCGTATTGCTATTTGTTTTTAATATTATTATTATTTTGGGTTAATGAGGGAGTTATGTTTGAGTCAATGACAATCAACTACAGCATTTGAAACTGAAGTAAACGTCAAAAGCTTTTGAAAAACAACTGGCCAGCAGGCATTAGGCCGAAAATTATCTTCAAATCATCACTAAAAATTACTAAAATGTGTGTACGTTTATTGGAATTAATATATTCAACATTGTCCAAATTCTGGTTTATAGTTTCCATATTTTTTTAAAATAAGATTTTTGCACTTTTTGTTTGTCTTTTCCCTATTGTGGTACTCAGGAACATCATACAGTGCTTGAGGAGAACCATTTCTGTGTGTGTGTGTGTGCGTATGTGCGTGTGTGGTGTGGAACTCTTTTATCTTATTTTGGAGAAGTTGTGTTGCAGTGAGTCCCAGTGCAGAGTGAGGTGTCCTCTTGATGTCCACTGAAGGCTGTTGCTGTACAAACCTGCATCTGAAAAAAAAAGATAAAAAAACACTGCTGCGAATGAAATGATTAATAATAAAACTATTTAAATTGTTTCCTCTGACTCAATGTTGACATTTTCTTTTTCATCCTGATCACTGACCTCGATCTTTTCCCCATGAAAAGGGATCACTTCAGGTCAGCAGTCAGTCAGGCTGAGGAATAAAGGAACCATTTTATCTGTAGGTTAGTAATTAGAGTTAGATATTGACTTACAATATTATCATTTGGTTGAGACTGGAGTAAAGTGCCTTGCCCAAGGACACAACAGTAGTACTGGCAAAATATATTCAAAACATTCATCTTTTCAATGGTCGGCAAACTTTTAATGCCAAACTTAATCTTACATTTTGAAAGAACCATCAAAGTATTATTCTGTTTTGCACAATATTTGAAATTATATGCATGTTTGTTTTGTTTTTAAAGAAAGAAAAAAAAAAAAAAGACATCCAGACAAAGCGCTCATATCCCATTCTGTAAAGGATGACAAATCCACCGATTTATCGGATACCTTAGGATTCAACATTCATTCCAACTCAACTATCAAACTAGCCTCTGTTGAGTTGTAAGGAATGCTCTATAACGTGAGTAAACAATATCAAGAATGTGCACTAATTATTTTATCATATTGCCATTTTTCCATAGTTATTGCCTAATGGTTTATGTTTACTGATTTAATGTTTAAACTGGACACATACATAAAATCATGTAGCTTCACTTGTGACATGTATCCATTGGATACAGAAAAAAGACATTATTATAACTCTAATATTATCCATTTTATGCGGTTTAATGAGGAATCTTCAATCAGTACTACTGTTTAACCGTGTTGGCACATGTGAATTTACTTAAATTCCTGTGTCTTGTCCTAACTTGTAATAGTCGTAATAGTATATAATAGATAAACCGGTTTGATGTTGAGTACGTGGGCAGTGCTCGTTGTTTTTATTCTGCTAAAGTTGATAATATTTTAAGATATATTTAAGAGAAATAAAAACACTTGTAAATAACTTTTTTATGTCACATATGAAATCTTCCAGGCGAAGCTGCAACATCTCCATGGAGACAAGCAGGAGGCTGGCTGACCCCACAACAGAAAAGTTAGTGCACTTTCAAAGGATTATAGTCATGTTCACTCAAAACATCTGTTGCACTGATGATATAAAGCCATCACAACTTGAGGCTCTTTAGATTTATCAACATATTCCTCTTCATGCATTGTGGCTTAGTCTTGTGAAACCACTTGCATGATCGTCATCCATCAGTTGATCCCTACAACCACAAACCTCTGTCTACACCAACAAAACAAGCCATTTTAGATTTACCTAGCCCCAAAAGTCATCTTGGCTCATAGCTTGGCTTCTAGGTTTCCTGTGCTGTGATTGGTCAATTTCCTGAGGGGTGGGTCGTGATTAAATAAACAGTGCCACTGCTTTGCCACTCAGTTCCTACCGTGGACACTTTCTGCCTTAGAATCAGGTCACGAGATTCACGCACACTTTTGAAATCCACTCACATCTTTGCTTCAACATGGGGTCCACTGGGGTTGCTGTTGTCATGGTGACGGTGATGATGATAGTGCATGCGGACATCAAGCCACAGAAGGACTTCAACTTGCAAAGAGTAATGTATTTTTTTGTGTCTCTGAAAATATATGTAACTAAATATCGCTTGTGAACAACCTGGTAAGTTTCTGAACATTGTGTTAGCTTGTGTGTGTAATTTGGGTACAAAGTAAACAGAGTCAGAGTCAAAAACAAGCTTTACAAGCTGTGTAAAAGATACTGAGTAAATATTTGTAATTTGTTATGGTACAACTTTATACTAACCACACTTTCATAAGCCTTAATACAGCACGAATAAAGACTTAGTTCTTTATAAACACATTGTTTGTTAAGTATCATTCACCCTTAAAAACTAGGTGTTAGTGTTAGTTAGGCTATTCCAAGCTATTTGTTTATTATGAATTAAGTCATTCTTTCTTTATTTAATCTGGTGCTGTTTTTTATGCCTTTAAGGCTTTGATTCAAATCCTTTATCTGTCCTGGTTTAGTACTGTGCCAGTTCCTGTTCAGTTTATGAATCTCATCTTAGATCTTTAACATTTACCAGTGAAGTTCATATTTGTTTAAGTGTTACCTTTTTATTTGACCAAGTAAGTACCTCAACAATATTGCAGTGTCAAACTTACTAATAGTTTACATTATATCCATCCTCCTCATCACAAGAATGATGACTTTTTAAAGTTGATACTAAAGTAACTTTGCAGTATTTGCCTTTACAAAATCCTTGTGTTTTGAAAAGAAAGCACAAATTAATGTGACACATGATGCAAAATAAAGCAAAATGTCCCCAAGATCTTAATTTGTAATGATTAAATGAGCTCATTTCAAACATCATAATGTGTACGGGTTTGTTATGAGTTCTGTTTTTGACATACACTTACCCTGGTGGAGGCCACTGATGGGGTTATAACACCGCTTGCTTGTTTGTGGGTGCTATAAATACACAGAGGGTAAAATGTTCTCAAACAGCACATGTACAGTATTTTCCCTGTTTGAAAGCTCACTCCATAAGACAAGTTTGAGTTGATATCATTAGCAGGTCTTCATGTGCAAACTTGAACAGGCATGCATGCAATCTTAGGTGTGACAACTTTTTATTTTGGTACTTGCTGGAGTATAATGATGAGGAATGTGAATTGATGCTGTTTAGTTAAAGTTGCATTATGTAACCTCTAGTTTTTCTGCAATCTTTCTAGGTCTTCATCTAAATATAAAACATTTTATTTATTGCAAACAAGCCATGAACCCTGTGCATCACTGTATGACACACTGGGAGAGGTGATTGGCTCTCCAAGGGTGGTCGTCCCTGTTTTATTTTTCTGTCCTAAAACTAAGAAAGGTGCTAAAGAGGGTTATGAGACGTAGGGAATAGTACATATATTGAAAAACATTTGAACAGTTCCAGAGATCTTACTTTTTTTTTTTTAACCATTTCCATTCATAGATTTCTATTAAATTGTCTTTAATAGTTTGGTATACTGGATACTGGAGAAGAAATGAATATCTATAATACTGCACACCGTAGGCCAATCCTCCATCATAACATAATATTATTTGTGTGCAGTTTGGAGGCAGGTGGTACCGAGTGGGCCTGGCCTACGACTCTCCATCATTCCTCCCTCTCAGACCTCTGCTGACCGCTTCTATGGGCATTGTCACCCCACTGCCCAATGGCAGCGTCAACCTCACCATGTGGGAGCAAACGTGAGTGGATGTTGGTGCTTGAACAGCAACCAAATATATAATACAAGGAAAAAACATCACATTTTTATAATTGCCTGTTTTAGTCCTGTTGGCTGTTTGACCAAGATGTATCATTATGAAGCGGGCAGCGTGCCAGGGCAGTTCAGTTACTTCAGCTTACGTAAGTTCTGGTTATTTTCAGATCTGTTATAATGCTGTTTCCTCGTTACAAACATACTTGGAGTTGTGTTTTGTTTAATTCATCCATTTTTAATTCTGCATATTTAGGTTCTTCTCTCAAACAAAAAACACTCTGTTCCACCTTGTGATGTCATGTGGTAATACAGGAAGTGCTCCACTGTGTTCCTTCCATAGAATCATTTGGATAATTACAGCTCTGGAGTTGCCAATACCAAATTACCCAGGTAAGGTAAAAGGAAGCTGTCAACTAAAAAACTATCACTACATGACATCACAAGGTGGAACACAGCATTTTTAGTTTCAGATATGTAAACAGACTAAAAAAAAGGGGTTACTCAAATGCACGAATGCAACAAAACACAACTCCAAGTATGTTTGTGAGGCAGTAGCAACATTACAACATGGCTGAAAGCTCACAAGTGTCAATTTTGCGTAATATACAACCTTTATAAAATGAGTTTGTGTTTTGTTTGTTTTTCTCCAGGTCACAATATAGTGAAGGATATAACAGTAGTGGACACTAATTACACTGAATATGCCATAGTCCTGAAGAATAAAGTGTTTAATCGGGAGTACACCCAAGTGGCCCTGTATGGTGAGAGCATGGTTGTATATTTGCAGGGCTTTCTCAGATGAAGAAGAGATGGTCATTGTTAATGTAGGCCTATACATTGTACACTATGAGGAATGTACAAAATGAAAATCTAGAAATGTTGAAACAGGTTGTTTGTGTTAAGCATTGAATAACATTTTGGATACCATCATTTAAAACAAAAAATCAAATAGCATTTTATTTCAGGTGTGCTGACCAAAGTGATGCTGTACAAAATGTCACTTTATTTAGGTTGCCTTAATGTATGTTATGTTTTTGTTTGTTTGATTTAATAAGGCGGAACAGGATGCTTATTTACTATAATATGAACATGTGTTATAGGCCTACCAGGTGTAATATTCTGGTCTTTATTTCAGCTCGTAGTTTGAAAGTGAAAAATGAAGTGTATCAGAAGTACAAAGCCTTTGCCCTGTCGCGCCACCTCCCCAGAGACTCGATCATGACTCCTCCTCCAGCTGGTACGTTGCAACTCAAGTTTATTGGAATTGTATGTGAGCTTTTTTCCTTTTAACTAAATGTTTATTTATTTATCCTTTTGTCCACAGAGAACTGTCCAGTTAATGGACACTAACTGGGTCTCTTTAACTATAAGTTGGATGCATAAAACTATGTTTTGCCTTCTGTGTAGTAGTTCATTTCTCAAATTTTCCAGTTCTTAATTAACCTTTTGTCAAACAGGTCAAATAAATAAACATACACTAATAAAATGTGAGTCTGTTATTATTTAAGATAACTAAATCTGTCAGATTCCATCTCACAAGGTCCATTACTGTGAAATAATTATGTAATTCATATTCATATTTAATATTCATATCCATAAACAGAGGACAAACGGAGGAAGACGACCAGTCATTGTCAGCCTGCACACGGAATTTGGCTCCACTTAGTGGCAGAATGAGGAAAGACAGCGTAAAAGGTTTATTCAGTGCATTGATTGTTTATTTAGCCTTGAATACCAAAGTCCAGTAAAGGGAAAACACGGCCTTTTGGCATACATTCTCTAAATACTGACTAGCTACTTCTGAATGACAAAATGCTTAAGAGTTTTGTTAGTTTCTCTCTTGTTTTTGGAGCTTGCTTAACTCATGTAGATTCTTTTAAAGACACTCCTCTCATCACACAGGGCCATTTCAATCTGGATCACGTGAGTGTGTGTGGATTTTGAATAAATACAGCATTTGCATAACTTTTCATGTGAACTGTCACTTTCCTGCAGTTTTTGGGACGATGGTTGGAGGTGGCAGTCGTTTCAACATGTCCACACTTCATGCAGCGTAAGATGAGAAGCCCTGCTATTGTTCAACTAGACCTTAACAACGCGCAGGGCAACGTCACAGTGGAGGCCACTACGTTCAGGTTAGTCAACTTTGGTATGACCTGGAGGAAAACTATACACATTTACAAGCATTTTCAGGATTCAGCTTAAACTTGATTTTATTTTTACTTTCATTTGATACATTTTGACAATAGTCAACATTTGTACAGGTGGTTGCAGTAGAAATTTGTATTTGTCTATGTTACAATTGAAAGTGAAATTAGTAGAACGTTGTATAAATTTTACTTGACATAATAATGAATAATCTTTTTGTTTAGTACTTTTAGTGCTCCCATTTTTTGTTATCATTCTTAAAACATATCTCTTTGTCTGTCTTTTAGAAATGAATCTTGTAAATCAACTTTCACCAACTACAGTTTGACTGACACTCCAGGGAAGTTCTTCTACCATGTTCCCAGTCAGTACAATACAAAGTTCACTATTATCTTTAATAATAAGTCACATGTATCTTTGTATTACAGTTGTATCTTGTTCTCAGAGTTCAGTGCAGATGTTGATGTGTATGTGGTTGATACAAACTATGTGGAGTATGCACTGATGGTCCTTCTTAGCACAGAAAAGCCTGAGGGAAACATATCACTGATACTTAAACTTTATAGTAAGTAACCCTTATCTTATCATTATCATTTACAAAAAAGAAACACCAGTCTGTGTAAAACTGTATTGCTGTAAGGTCGGAGTAAAGAGGTTAGTGAGGCCATGATGGAGAACTTTAAAACGTTGGTGAGACAACAGGGGATCAATGATAAAACAATCATTATGAGTCAAGACAGAGGTGAATACATGATTGATTACAGCTTATCAAATATAAACGCAGTATCAGATTTATTTTAACATAACTTTTTTTTTTTTTCTTGTCAGGCCAGTGCTAAAACATGATGGAGACCACTTGCTTCTACTACTTTCACTTGATGGCCTTTGATTTTTGAACTCATGAACATGTGCTTTGTACTGTGTGGTCACTGTATATGTCTGGCAGGCCTATGCAAAATCAACTTTTTAGAGTTTTAACCATGTCATAGTTGTTTACCGTCACAGTTTCCTGACTGTATGTTCTATTTGGAATTATTTGTTCATGTTTGAGCAATCATTAATCAGCCCATATTACCAGTAAATCCCCATTTTCTTTGTCACCAGCATACGCCCACTGCTGTCTACTTATTTAATTCTGCAATTTTTATTTATTTACTTTTTTTTTTTCAATTAGTGATGAGCACAGGATTCCTCAGTGTTGCATAATCATTTTGGTACAAATGGAGGAAAAAAGTTAGCTGCTCATTAGTATGACCTGCAGTTATCCATCAGAGGTGTTGACTCTTTGTTATGATGTTTACGTTAACATCAGCTGCCGTTGAACACCGCAGTTTTTTAATGCAGAAATCAACCAACATAGTCACCATAATGATCCACGGGTGTTATAGATTCTAGCTATATAGCAGACATAAGCACAATAGGCCTTCTTTAATATTATTTAAAATTAAAGTGTCATACCACCAAATATATACCGTTTTTGTCAAAGCTTACTACTATTAGTGAGTTGTGTTCATAAAATTTCTGTATATGTCATAGAGATTTAAGTATATAAGCAGTAAACCCTTGAATTTGACAGTTCACTCACTTTCACAACTAAAATAAATAAGTGCAAGTCATTCTGAAAAATGTATTATTTGGAAATAAAAATATGCTTTAAAAAAAATACAAATAAAACTATTTTTTTCCACAAAATTCAAGCTTTGTTTTTGTTTAGCCCTAGTGGCTAGTCGTATAATTCAATATACTGTATCAAAATCACAGGATACTCTAATTGGTCAAAATTTAACATTTGTCACCAAGCGCCATCAGTGAATTACCTTTTCACATGAATATGGTCATTTTTAAATTTTTTAAAAATTTTTTTGCTTTATAATGTATCTTACAAAATATTAACTATTTCACCTAAAACCTACACTACCAAGCAAAAGTTTGGACTCGCTCCTAATTTTCCTGTATTTGTGTCAGAACAGCCCAATTAAGAGTTAACTTTAGTTATTTACATGTACATTTATTGCTAGAACATTCATAAGTATACTAATAACACAATTTAAGCAAGTATAATGTTCAGGTAGGGATATTTCTAAGCATTTATGCATGAACGCATTTCTGGAAAGTTTAGCTAGCAACATTACCCTAACTTTTGTTTGGTTAAAACACTCAAAATATCTTTCTAAAGGGTTTCATGTCTCACAAATATTGTGTGTGGCTTTTTTGAGTTTATATGAAAGACTGATAATTTCTAGAAAGAAGCATATGTTTAGCTAATTTGAAAATTATCTGAATCTGAAGTAGTACGAAAATGGCCAGAAAACCTCAGATAAGTAAAGAAAAAAGGATTGAAATTCAGGTTTTGAAAAAAGAAGGCTATTCTACAAGACAAATTGCCCAGAAAGTTAAAGTCTCACAAAGTGGAGTTGCAAAAACATTAAAGAGATATGAAGAAACAGGTTCACATGAAGACCGATTTCGTTCTGGTAGAAGCAGAGTCACATCTAAAGCTGAAGATAAGTTCATCAGAGTTACCAGCCTTCGAAATAGACAAAAGACAGCCCCAGAGATAAGAGCTCAGCTAAACTCTACTAGGAGCAATAATGTGTCAGTGGATACTGTGCGGCGTAGACTGCGAGAATCTGGTCTGAACGGCAGGGTAGCAGCCAGAAAACCACTCCTAAGAAAGCAGAACATAAAAAAGAGACTTCAGTGGGCAAGAGAACATAAGGATTGGACTGTAGAAGAATGGAAAACAGTTCTGTTTACAGACGAATCAAAGTTCGAAATTTTTTGATCAAAGCGGCGCAAGTTTGTTCGACGTAGGGTTGGAGAGCGTTTGAATCCTGCATGTGTTGTCCCCACAGTAAAGCATGGTGGAGGTAGCGTCATGGTCTGGGGCTGTTTTGCAGGGGGTCAGACTGGTGATCTGCACAAAGTAACAGGAATTCTAAATCAGCATGGATACCACAGTATCTTACAGAGGCATGCCATTCCCTCTGGGCTGCGTTTAGTGGGCCAGCCATTTACACTACAACAAGACAATGATCCAAAACACACCTCTAAACTGTGTCAGAGGTATCTGGCCAAGAAAGAAGATGAGGGGAAGCTAAGGGTAATGACTTGGCCAGCTCAATCCCCTGACCTTAACTCCATCGAACTTGCATGGGATGAACTGGACAGAAATGTCAAGAACAAGCAACCCACAAGTGCTGCAAACCTTTATGAGATGCTGGTGGAGGAATGGCGGAAAATTTCAAGTGACTATCTCATGTCCCTGATTGACCGAATGCCTCGAATTTGTCAAGCAGTTATTAAAGCTAAAGGAGGCTATTTTGATGAGTCGCAGATTTAGACGATTCATTAACAATATTATTTTGTCAGACACTTCAGTTTTGTTTTCAGTGTTGTTATCTATAGTTTTACAGTGATTAAAAATAAAATTTTGTTCATAATGTTGTCAATATGAACCAAACACAGAAAAAGTAGGGGTGAGTCTAAACTTTTGCCTGGTAGTGTATTTAAAAAACAACCTTGTGTAATCTCATGATGACTTTCATTGATTTTGAGGTAGCATACCACGCACACATCCACTAAAAAGATGAGTGGACTTTTGCTCCGTGCTGTTTGTTTTCCCCTGCAGGAGGGGGCAAAATCACACATGATAAAGGTATCTGGCTCAGGCGAGAGTCCCATCTGTATCAGACACCAGGTCCGAGAAAGGAGCAGGCATCATGTACAGCAGGATTCTACTGAGTGGGCTGCTTTTGGGGTTGACATGGAGACTCCACGCTGTCCCAGTGGCTACAGAATCACTCTACCCAACACAGGAGAACTTTGATCTCAGCCGGGTCAGTAATTATCTGATTTGTGTACAGGCAAAAACTTAATGAAGTAAAAATAATGCTCAAAATAATAAAAAGTAGTACTCCAAAAATTAAAGTAGGATTTAAAAATATTTGGGGAAACCACTACTCATTAAAGGTGCACGATGCAGCTTTTCTGGTGGAGGGTCTGTCTCCTATGACAGTGTAATTACTTGCTTGGAATGTGTCACAGTATGGTATTAAACTTAATTATCTCCATGGAAACAAGCAGGAGATGCCACCAGACCAAGATACTGAATATTGAATGAATGAAAGATGGATAAGTTTAATGCCACACTGTGAAACATTTTGGACGTAATACCACCTCCATGGGGATAAGCAAGTGGTGGACCCTCTACCCAAAAAGTTGCACAATGCACCTTTATTTTATTTGAAATGACAAAACCTTAAATCATACAAACACCTGGTGGTTTAAAAGATGCACCAAAGTTAGAAAAAATAGCAATAAACAAATCACATCTGAATGTGCGGGGCAAAAAAAATGCAATATTGCCAACTTTGTATCTTACGCACTCAAGAAATACAATTTCTTTCAAAAGTTGCTAAGTTAAATGTAACTGTAAACACCTCTGTTTACCTAATATTTGTGTTTTGTTCATCACTTCTATAGATTCTGGTAAAAAGTACTGAGAATAGAGATACTGAGAAAAATAGATATAAAAGATGAAAAAGATGACACAATGTTTATACAGCAACATTTACACAGCAGAGTAAATATGAAGTCACCAAAAGTTAGATTTTTTTTAGACAATCATGTAAACAACAGAATCAATAGACCAGTCAATAGATTTTTATGAGGGATATTGCACTGTAATTTATGCAATTGCCTTTTTTTTCTCCATTTGCTTAATTGTTATACATTACACAGAATTGTCCCTTGTGAGGGTTAGGGTTAGGGTTAAGCCTTGTTAGAATGTTGTTATCTCATCCAGAACATACCTAGAGTCATCAACAAGGTAAATACACTTTACTGCATTGTCTTTAAAAAGAACCTAAGAATTTAAAATACCTAGAGTCGTGTTTTGTTTCATTCTCACATGCTTGAGTAATCCTTAGTTATTGGTCTGTTTACATCTCTAAAGATCAAAATGCTCTGTTCATTGTGATGTCATGAAGCTGCATTTGTCAAGTTAACAGCTACTTTTTGTTTAGATTGGCAATTCCAGGACTGACATTATCCAAATGATTCTAGTGAATGTGTATGGAGTTTAAAAACGCAGTGGAGCACTTCCTGTATTACCACATGACATCACAAGATGTTTTTAGTTTGAGAGAACTCAGCCTAAATAACAATTTTTTGTGTGTTACACATGTATGAATGAAACAAAACACAACTCCAGGTATGTTTGTGATGAGGAAACAACATCGTATAACACAAAACTAAAATAGTGTAATATGGGCCCTGGTTTATCACATGTATTGTTGTGTGATTTTGGTTGGTCAGTTGCATGCACATTTCCTTGTGACAACAGAGTCACTTCCTGGTCTGATGGTCACATACATGTTCCTTAAACAAAATCAGTATTTCACCATATTAGGTGGCATATTTTTATTTATCTATTTTTATTGTTGAATAATGGTTATAAGACATTTTTTACCAATTGTTTTGAATAATCGTATAATCATATAGAGCAGTGGGCGGAGATAGGGGGTAGGTGACAACACACATTTTCTAAACACTCAACCCTCAACCTTAAGTTAAAAAGCTCATTAAAGTAAAAGTAAAAAATAAAATCCTTTTTAATTGTTGTGATATGTCTCCTCAGTTTTTGGGGACCTGGTATGATCTGGCTGTGGCCACAAAGTGCACCCACATGCAGCACCACAGAGGAGACGCTGCTATTGGCAAACTGGTGCTGCAGAGGGGGACGGGACAAAAGCTCAAGATGACACGCACCAAGCTCAAGTCAGTACTTCAAAACAGTCAATTCCATAGTACCTGATACATAACCTTTGAAGAGATATGACTAAACCCTTAGGGAATTATCCTTGGGTTTCAGAATGATGAAAATTTAGGACTGTTGCCATGGCGACAAATTGTTTAATAAATTTATTTTTAAAAATTATATCTTTTGAATGGAAAAAAAAAATAGTCTTAGTTGTCTTATTTGAAAAAGGCCCATAACCTGCAAAATGTTTACAGAAGTATATACAAACTTATGTGAGTCCATGATTTTGTGAAGGCAAACCACTTGTGTGGAGATAACTGGAGAATATGAGATGACTTCAACAGCAGGCAGATTTCTCTACCATGTTGCAAGTATGTTATTATTAATATCAAACTTTAACGGGTTCTTGTTAAAAAAAATTTGTTGTTTTTTGTTTCTATAGAATGGAACGCAGATGTAGATGCATATGTTGTCCACACAAACTACAATGAGTACGCTATTTTAATCATGAACAAGAAGAAACCAACAGGAAGTAGTGTTTCGGTTAAACTTTACAGTAAGTACACTGTCAAAATCTGTGTAACATTTTAAATTTTTTTTACTTTTTTTTACTGTTATATTGCATCTCAATGACAGGTCGTTCTAAAGACATTAGACCTACTATTGTAGAAGACTTCAAGACGCTGGCCAGAGAACAGGGAATAAGCGATGAGTTTATCATTATGAAACAGAACAAAGGTAAGTACAGTTCTGTCTTTGTAAGTTCTGAGTTACTTTGACTTTATCTTATCAGTTTGAGTCCTCTGCAGGGGACTGTGTTCCTGGGGAGCAGGTGATAGCACCATCCACTCAGCCAGAGCCTCCGGTACTGTCATCTCATTTACATACTGACGAGCAGGAGATCACTCATACCACTTTATAATAACTATATCTTAATTTGTCTTAATAAGGCAGACACAAACTAGCAGGACTCATAAACAGTCAACAAAGACATAATTCATAATGAACAAATAGTTTATTAAGAATGATTCAGTCTTTGTAACTACTTACTTAAGGGGGGTAAGGTTAGGAGCAGGGTTAAGATGAATTAATTTGTTCATTATGAATTCGGTTTTTGTTGACACTTTATTAGTAGTATTGTCTTGACCTGTATTAACTGCATATTTCACTCACAGAGAGTGCGGAGAGCTGTGTTTCCCGAAGTAGAAGGTTCTGGTGATGATACTGCTCTCTTCAATGACACTGGTACATAGTCATTCGCATTTTTATAGAATTTTCATGCTTTTAGGGAACATTACATTGAGATACATTCAATTCCCGGAGAGAGATCCTAACCAAAGTCTCAATCATAGTCATTACTTGCCTACCTAAACTTTGACCTTAACCTATTCAGCTCTAATTTTAACAAAAAAAAAAAAAAAACAGTGAAATTTACATAGGAAACATGATGATATGCTTTGCACTCTGAAAAATGACTGAAAATCTGTGGTATATGGTATTTCTGCAGTTATAAGCTTTGACTTTATTCCATCTCTCCATATCCCACCACATTTTGGTCAACAACTCTTTTTCTATCTCAACCTGCCCTTATTTCTCATACATCTACTCATAAACTATGTATGTGTAACTGCGAATTGCCCTGCAGAGGCCTGTAAGGCAGCTCCAGACACTGGGCCCTGTTTTGGAATAAAACCACGGTTCTACTACAACGCCACGTCAATGACCTGTCAGACCTTCACGTACGGAGGCTGTATGGGCAATCAAAACAACTTTGAGAACGAGAGAGACTGCCTGCAGAGGTGTCGCACTGAGGGTAGGACACACACACACATCTCTGTAAATGCTACTACATCACCACTAGAGGGCATAAATGTACTAATTAAATGTAAGGAGCCACACACAGACGCCATAGAAGTTGAATCACTATTTTGAATTGGCTAATACTTTCATTAAGCTATGTAAGATTATGATCTTCTTTGATTATTCTTTTGGACAATTTAGGCCATTTGAGACGTGTGACTACTGTGTGAGTATTGTGAATGTCATCATTATTTTACATTGTGTTTGTTGTAAACATCTATATTGAAGTAAAGCAGCTTCACAGAACAGAAAGTTTTCATATTAATATTTCACCACAGTAAGCAGAGGGTTTTCAGGTAAGTATTTTTTATTTTTGGGAACAGTGCTATGCATGTAAACCTTCCATGTATGCCCCCAGAGTCTGAATCCTTTGAATATTCACAAGTCAGTACAAGAGGTAGGTGGAGATAGGGGGTAGGTGAAAACAGACATTTTCTGAGTACTCCAGTGCAGGGCAATACAGGATTATTAAAATACAACTCTGGGTAAGCAAGTGATGAGTCAACACCTTTATGACTTTATTCAATTTTACATAATTTACATTATTTAATCACTGTTGCTTCCATCCAGCTGTGTGCCGTCTGCCCCTGGTGGCTGAGCCCTGCACTGCACATTCATCCACCTGGGCCTTTGACTCCAGTGTTGGGTTGTGTGTCCCATACAAAACAGGTTTCTGTCAAACCAATGGTAACAAGTTCTACAGTAAAGCCGAGTGCGAGGAGTACTGCGGGGTGGTGAGAGATGGTGAGAGGCCCACCCCTTAGATTTACTGACATGTAATTACAGTTTTCTTTGGTAACATTTTTAATTTTTTTTGTAGATGGAGACCTTCTGAAAGCTAACTGAAAAGAGAAGCTAAGGTGGGCTTCAAACTGACTTGTGTTACACAGGAAAGAATATACAACACTTACACAATAGGCAGCCAGCATGGATATATTGTGGAAAACAAGTAATAAATCAAACTGTAATTCTTGGAGTGAACAAGTCCTCATTTTCAGTTTGTCAAGACTAAAGAGGCTAGACAGTGTTGAAGTTCACTGTATTTTTAAACATAATCTTGACAGTAGTAATCCTGAACAAGAAAGCCATAAGAACAGTGGCTGGAGGCTGGGACTTCAGATGATACACTGCAGGTGGAAGAAATTTGCATGAGTATTTGTTACACAAATGATCGCTTCATGCCAGTCCTCCGGCACAGCCTGGATTCAAATATGGGTCTCGGGGAAAAAAACAATTGCCCATCAAATATGACTGAAAAGTGAATTAATAAGAGTATTTTGTACAGTAAGAGAGTCATTTGTTGATCATCTACCAATGGACAGGCCATTGGCAAATAGTAGGCCTACAGTCAGTAAATGGTATCTTTATGCCCAGGGACTATTTGCTTGTTTAATTGTTGAATTATTTATCTATTTGGTTATAACAACATCATCAAATCCTTGCCATTTGTTGTAACACACAAACCCTACATATGTAGTCTTTTCTCAAACAGAAAAGACTCTCTCCCACCTTGTGATGTCATGTGGTAATACAGGAAGTGCTCCACTTTGTTTTTAAACTCCATACACCCTCACTAGAATTATTTAGATGATTTCAGCCCTGGAATTGCCAATCTCTAGTGAACTAATGGTAAACGGTAGCTATTAACTTGGAAACTACCACTAAATGACATGATAAGGTGGAAAAGAGACTTTTGAGCTGTGGAGATATGCAAACATGGGTGAATAAAATACAACACCAGGTATATTTTTGAGGCGGTGACAACATTCTAACATGACTTGAAGCTCTCAAAAAATCTTTTGTGTAATATACCTCTAAGGATAACAACTCACATGGCATTTTAGTTTGTTTTCACACATCACAACACAGAATCCAAACAGCAACTGAACATATTTTATTTGTCAATTGAGATTTGATTGTATAGAATGTTGCTATTTCTAAATCTTTTTGCATTTTTTCATGCAATCCTCTTCATTTATAAAATTATTCTGGTTGCCTAGACAGCCCCCATAAACAAATTCTTCACATTTCTGTGTTTTGTGGTTGTAGTAATAGCGTGGTATGTAGGCCTCACATGGCCCACTCTCTGATGGTAGGTGACAGACTACAAAAGGACAGACAAAAGTTTGTTCACAAAGTAGGTCAAAACACATTCATTGCAAGCACAAGTTTACAATCTCCAAAAATAATTCAATCATTATTTTAAAGAATGTCAATTGTATGTAAAACACTGGGAAATTCAATACAATTACCATCTTCTACAGATCGCGGTGCTCCTGCCTGCCATAACTGAAAAAAATAAAAATACAAATACAAGCAGTATGTAGTTACACACTGTCAGAGGCTCATGACCATTTTGTAACGTATGTTGTTGGGGATAAATACAACAGTCTTATGTCAAAGCTAACATAATAGTCATTATGTCATTACCTGATGGCCTCGATTAGGACAGTGTAAGTGACACTCTCTCTGTGAAATAAATCTGTTCCCATTGCCCTCACAGCCTCCATAAGTGAATAATTCACATTTCCTGGATGTGGAGTTGTAGAAGTAGCGCGGTATAGCCATGCGACAAGGACCAGTCTCTGGTGCTAGGGAACAAACTAATACAAAAAGATAAGGAAAAGTATTACTACTGCAGACAATAGGGACTGCTATCAGGTTTATAGGAGACTAGGTGGGTGTCTTCCCCAAGGACACAACAACAGTATGCATTAACCACTGATCTTTGAATTGGTGGACAAGTGCTTAACCACTGAGCCACTGGTGCATGCTGTAATCTGATGGTCTGGTGGTTGAAAAGTGAATATTTCCATCCCCTGGTGAGCTATTGACAAAGACCTCAGGTGTCAATCACCTGTCCTCTCAACCCCAACCTCAGATCTTCTGTCTGCCTGCCTTGTCATGATGAACAAATGGGTTTGTATATAATATACTCCCTAAAAGTAAAACTTGTATCAAAATAAAAGTCCTACCATCAAGTGATAGGACTCTTGCCTCTTCTTGGGCTACAAGTGGTGTTATCTGCATTTAGAAAAACAGGTAAATCAGGTAACATAGGCTTTAGATCAGAACACTCATATCCAATTCATTTGTGTCTTACCACATCACTGCCCCCAGGATGGCAAACACGTTGACAGTCTTCAGCTGAGTCAAAGCGGTTAGTGTTGCCTCCACAGCCTCCATAAATAAAGGGTTCACACCTCTGAGAATGTGGGTTATAGAATAGTTTGTGCATACTGGCCTTACATATTCCTGTGTCTGGAGGCAGGTTACACACCTCTGCAAGTGAACAGAGGAGGAGACTGGTGAATGCCTACACATTTTCACTGGTATTACAGTAAAAAAATAACAACCCACCAGTTGAATTGTGTGCATGAACAGCACGACAATACATCTCGCAAGATGTTAAAGATTTAAATCTGTTGAGGTTGCCTTTACAGCCTCCATATATGAATATCTCACATTTCCCAGAGGTGGCGTTGTAGAAATAACTTGGGAGGTAGGCCATGCAGGGTCCAGTCTCTGGAGGTAGGTTACAGGCACCTGCAAAGCAAAAGAAAGTTCAGTGTGAGTTACTAATTCAGTTGTTTGACCAACCCAAGCTAATTCTCTTGATCTAAACGTCACTGAGTGAATGTTGTCCCCACACACACGACATGCAGGTAAGAACATTGACACTGAAGCAGTGGTTCCAAAAATATTGCAATATTTAATAACCCACAGCACTGTTTTCACATAGTACCCACACAAAGCTTTGCACACTCTAGAGTTGTTGAGTGCCTTGAAGAAGAAAAAGCACTATATAAAAATGTGACCATCTGTAAGACCTGAGGCTAGAGAAAGACCTTACCTGACCAGAACAACACGCTTTATCAAACTTTTGTAAAGACAAGTGTGTCTGGAACTATATACTTTCTTTCTCTTTGATTTTAGAGGGAATGATTGACCAGTGTAAAACCAATCAGAGATGCATTGTCAGTGTGGACAAATAATAAATAAATAAATAAATAAAAAGAAAGAAAGAAAAAAAAAAAACATGACTGCTTACATTGAAAAGGGGAAACAACAGCAGAGAGCTAAGAACAGTGTGGACTTCTACAGAATGAACAATCACAGCACTAAACTATTATTTAACATATGTTGTTGAATGATAAGAAAATTTTCAAGAGGAGATATCTCCCTCATTTGCTACAGAGTTGTGGCTGTGGTTGGACCGTCCCAATTTAGAATTAGTTTTTTCACGCACTGTGGTCCGATTCCAGATCCTTCTGGACTGGAACAGAATGTTGAAGGGACTGGTCAGGCAACGAAAGGACAACAACCTCACAAGACTTTTATGTCAAGTGAGTAACCCCCCCCACTGGCGGGTGGAGTGAACTAAAACACATCCATACTGCGACATAAAAAGGGAAAATAAACATCTTACCCCAACGATTGTGAGGAGGATCAAGACTAAATGCACAGGTTTCAGCGAGGTGATCCGGCTGCAGTAAAAGCTTGCATAGACACAGACATATGATGTATAAATACAATAAGAAGACAATAATTTACGTGCACAATATAACACTAACCTTCTGAAAATGGGGCCGGCAAGTCTCCAAACATTTTATTTTTGAACCAAACCTGTTCTGGTTGCCTCCGCAGCCTCCATAAATGAACTCTTCACACTCCTGTGACGTGGAGTTATAGAAGAACTGAGGCATGTAGGCAAGACAAAAAGGACCAGGTCCCGAGTCTGGTATGATCTTACAGAAGTCTGGAGTCTTTACAAACAGAAGAAGAGACATTTTTGTTTTAATTTGACACTTTCTTCTTCAGTGCAACATGGAGCAGTGAGCAGCCACAGATCTTGAGTTAGTGTTGGTCACATCTAGAATAGCTGAACAACAAACAACAATACAAATAGATATGTGTAGACTCAGGAAAATTACACCCACCAAGTCACTCACTGAATTGCCGGAGGAAAGAATGCTACTCAAAACATCTAAACAGTTATACAAGATGGTGTTGATGGGTCGTAGCCTCTTTCTGTTTACAGAAAGGATTTGATCTTACAGTGAAGTCATCTGCTGAACAATAAAAGCTCTTGCTACATATTCTGATGTTTTGATTTTGTTCATTCAAGTTTTACTCCACTCAGTCAAAGTAAAACATATTGAACTGGGAATATCCAATCTTTTTTTTTTTTGCTAGTTTAGTAGCTCTTTATACCTGGTCCCCCGTAATGGACAATCCCTGTGGAGTCCAGGAGCAGAGCAGGACCAGCACATTCAGTAGGATCACACTTTTCTTCATTGTGCAGCTTACCATCACAGTCTCCACTCACACTTTGATCCATCCCAGTCTCCTCTCACACTTTTATATCTGTGTCTCACACCTAGCAATGAGAGTGGGCACATGACACTGAACTTCAGAGTCAAATAAATATTTAAAACACTAGGTTATGCAAATATGACCTGGTGGGTTTACTGTGTTTTTCCCGGTATATCTGTGTAATTAACAAACACTTTCATAATGTTATTTCGTTTCGACACTGGAGATAAGATGAGTCATCTAGATGTAGCCAAAATGACAAACATTTCATATTTCATTTTTAAAGCCCATTTCACAGTTTTCCTTAAGCTTTGTATTGTATTGCCTCAGATCCACCTGTCACTCAGAGCATGACAGAGGCTGACCGGTAGTGGATTGTTAAAAGTAGACATGCATATTTGTAAGTTTGAGGATGGGACTTCATCAAACCAAAAAGCACCAAATTGCCATTAAAAGATCTCTCCTGATTCATAGATCAGTAGGGGGATAATTTAAATTTTTTACATAATTTTGCCAGTCCTATATATGTCCAAGGACATAGTGATAATGTGTATTGAACCAACAACTTTCGGGTTAGAGGGTGAAAAATCTTGCCTGTATGATTTTTGTCCCTTTGTGAATGCATTTTAAACATGTCCAAACCTTGTCAAAGCTTGATCTAGTAGTAATAGTTGTTTATTTGGTTATTTTGTAACACTACAATACAAAACAAAACAAATAGACTACAACCCTATGGATCATGACCTTAAGGGTTTAGGCTTAAGTCAAAAGTACTCATAATGCCTAACCCTATTAAACAATGACAGTATTCCAAGAAAGAAAAGCAGCATATGAACAGCAAGTTTGCATTTACAATTTCACTTGCAACTTATGGTATATATAAGAGACCCTAAGAGAAAATTTAATGCATAATTAATTTATTCCAGAGCTTTATAGCTTTTCGAAACAGAATGTTTATATACTTTTTTAAAGGCTTCTACAGTGTTCACTTATGTTGTTCCATATACTATCCCCTCTAACAGAAATACAATCACTTTTTTTCTTAGTTCTTCATTTTTTAAAAAGATGCCTGTTCTTCTGAGGTTATACTGACCCTGTCTCTGCTCAAATAACTCTTGTACACAAGGAGGGAGCAGATGATTATAGGCCTTGTACATCACTATGGCTGTACTCAGGACAGGATCAAAAAACAGAAGTACTTTTAGCTTAACAAAAAGAGGATTTGTTGGTGCATAGTAATTTGCATGATTAACAATCCTGATAACCATCTTTCGCAGTAAAAAAATAAAATAAAATAAAATAAATAAAATAAAAGTTATACAGTAAAAGGAAATTTAGATTTAAACATCTTTTCATTTTACCCATAGCAACAATTTTAGCTAGCTTTGGCTGAATTATACTATCTCATCAGATCTCAGAGGGTAAAAAGGGCTTAGTATTTGAATGGGGGACCACTGGGAATATAAGTACCACAGTGGGGTGCCAGTGCCAAAAACTGCCATTGTGCTCTTAGGCAAGACACTTCATTCACACTGCCTAAAATGAAAGTGATGTGTGTGAATTTGGTTAGAGTTACAGTAATTTAAACATACATGGTATCATTCATCATGACTTGATATTTTTATTGAAAGATGGTACTGATAAGAACAACAATGCACGAACATGTAGGTATTCATGAGAACATGCTTCAAATATTAGTACATTGGTTACAGAAACAATGACCTTAAAGAAGGCAGTTTTTTTTCTCCAAGTATTACCACACTGTAATACACAATACATAGTACACATAGCACTTTTTTTTTTTTTTACATTTTGTTGCTTATAAACATCAATGTTGATCTAAAACTGCTTAATAAAAGAAATGGGGTCATCAGTGATAGGCCCAAATTCTTCACACTGATATTTCACCATGGCAACCATCAGATTTTCATGTAGTTGCTTTTAATTAAATAAGACATTTTTCAACCCTATATGTAGGACGTGAATTTATTTTCATAATCGAGAGCAGTGGGAAGAAATATGGGGTAGGTGAAAACAGAGATTGTTCACTCATCCCTGGTATGCAGGACAATACAGGATTACTCTAACATACAGGAATCAGTCATAATACAACTACAAGGAAAAAGCACATGTCAATTGTGTGTAAAATGCCCCCTTTAAATGTTCTCTTCTGTTGCACTGTTAGATAACATCAACAATAATGTTTATCATGATCCCTCACAGCTGCATATGACTGTTGACTCTAATTTTTCTACACTAACAGTGTCTGGTATAAGGCACACATAGAGCCAAAAGGGGGCATTGTTGCTCAGAATTACTAGGATTACCTGCCATGAAGTTGAAGCAAACATGGGAATTGCATTTAAAGATAGGTTCTTAAAAGCAAGTTAGTTTAGTTGTCTCTCTTTTCCACAAACAATTGTTTCTGGGCATAAAAAACATGACTCACATAGCAGTGTAAAAATCAGTAAATAGACATGCATGTTCTCTGGTTTGCTAAGGAGCCAGGCTTCCTGCTTTTAGTTCCCAGAGTTCCCGGCGGCTGGCAGGAGAATGCTGGGAATATCCGGAGAGGAAGGAGAAGTGACATCACAGCGGTGACCTTCCGCACCGGGCCATATCACCTGGTGCTGCTGGGTCCGGCCTCAGACAGAGGGAGGGAGAGAGAGCTGGGAGCATGTTCCCATGAAGACACAGAGGAAGCCATAACTGAGCGGCTAAAGCACAAAATTTTCCAATACCTTTTCAGAAGACAGGTCGAGGTAAACACAGCTCAACATGGCTCCCCCTATCAGATAAAAGCATACTCCATCTAACTGTTCCAAACTGAATCAGCAATAAAACAGTGGTTCCTACACTTGTTCTCAATAAACAACAAAGACCAAAACAAGATTTTCAGATGAAATAAGGCTACATGTATTGGGCTCATTGGAATTTGTGAGACTATGCTTTGTGGTTCACTAAAAACAGACTATGTCCTGAAATAGATGAAATGTCATAAATCAACTCCTGAGCAAGAAACAGCCAAGCCTAGAGGCCAAAGCTGAAAGTGATTTCAATGAACCGCATTGTTAACACAAAAACTATTTTATTAGTCCTTCAACAATTTGTTGAAACTATTTTGAATCCTTTAATTCAAGACAAGGTATACAAAGGTTTGGATTTTTAGGGATAAGGATTAAAGGGTGCTCGAGGAAAGGAAACAGAGTGTGTGGTTGGAACATCATTGTATAAGATGACAAAAGAAGAAGGGATTCTCTGGTCAGCTGCTGCTGCTTCTGCCACTGTCTATTGTCCCACCACTCCCCCACTCTCTACCCCCTGCATGCACCCAGTGTCCCCCACCCAAAGTCTCCCACCCCCTCTCTTATGTTGTATTGGACATCACTTTCTTTCCTTCTCCAAGTTCAACTCTGATTACATGGCCGACCAACTGGCAGCTCCCACCATCACCCCCCCTTCCTTTACGCCCAGCTGTGTCATCTGAGTGTTTTCATTGACTCTGAAATACAACAGATGTATGAGCAACATTATGATAATACCAAACTTATTCTTAATGAAACAAAAATGTAACATACATACAATTCTGTCACAAATGTATTATGTTTAATTAAGTTTAAAAAACAAACAAAAACAATTTAACATGGAATCTATATTGCTGCTGGAAAAGAAGGGAAAGTGCTGAATGTAGCTCCATTCTTCCCTTTGTGAGTGCAGTCTATGTATGCACCTCACGTAGTCACCAAAGGTGCTGAGCTCTGCAGTACCCTGAGTCTCCCTCTGTCTGTGTGGCTCAGTTTATGTTGTCATCTACAACTTAATAATGTAAACATTGTGTTGATGTGCATACGTTACTCAAACATGTGTATGATGTTAGATGAAATAAAAGCCTTTAGTTTGTTTCTCTTGATTGCTCACACATGAGTCTCATGTCTAAATGATGGCATTATGCAGCTCTGCAGAGTGTGTGGCAGGCGTACAGCTCACATTGACCTCTGGATGACACACAGTGCACATACGAGTACTCTGTGACACTTGCAGACAGGCCCTCTGAAAGGAGAGGGCACATTCCTTTCCCCAGGTGGCAGAAGCCAGGGTCAGATCAATGGCCTAATGGGCTCACACCAGTGACCAGCCATCATTGACCCCCAGCAAGTGTCAGCTCCTTGTAGCACACAAGCCTTTGTGTCCTCCAAAGCAGAGTGCTGTCTCCCAGGGAGCTGTTTAACCGCTGGACCAGAGGTCTAACTGAGGGCAACTTAGAGATGCTCACAACATGTGTTTCCTGACCGGAGAAAGGAGTAAAGTGGACCATTGTAACCGATCATGCTTCTATAAAGAGCAAAGCAATCATCCCACATACAAGCCTACTGTAACACAAGCCATGCCACTCTGCTGATCTTCATATGAGTATCAATCAATCAAACCGATATGATTGATATGAGTATCATACCTCTTCAGAGATCTGAAAGTTGTAGTTGCATTGTAGTTACAAATAGATAAAATTTTTAAATGTATGTTCAATCTATATAACTTCAGCTCAGAATCTGAATAAAGCCTTCTCATTGCTCAGACTATTATGAGGTGGGCAGTTCTGTTTAAAATCTCTTGGCCATGGAGAACATTGGTGGTAAGTCTGAGGTTGTTTTCTTTCACTGATCACCTCCTCTTCCTCACTTCACCCCCACAGCTCAGATTCTCATTCAGGCCCAGTGTGCTCGGGGCTCTATGCACTCCTACAGCTGTGTGCGCAGGGCTAGTGCTGTGGGACAATGGCTGCTGAGGGGCTGCCTCAATGGGACCATTGAGCGTGCTCAGCCAAACAGAAAAGCATCTTCCATCTCACTTCAAAACCCATAGTTTCACTGTGTACAACCAGGCCTTTATTCTTCATAATTACTCCCTGACATACATGCACACACGTCTGTACATACACACTCATATACAGTAGGACATACTCCGATAAGCTGACCTGGTCATTTACAGGCTATATGACGTGATGCAACATATAAATCTG